TGCAACTGAGGACAAACGTTAAGGGCGACTAACGCCCGTGCGACTAACGCACATGACGACACACGTCAAAGGCGACTAACGCCAAGGCGACAAACGCCTATGCGACTAACGCAACTGACGACACACGTCAAAGGCGACTAACGCCAAGGCGACAAACGCCTATGCGACTAACGCAACTGACGACACACGTCAAAGGCGACTAACGCCAAGGCGACAAACGCCAATGCGACTAACGCAACTGACGACACACGTCAAAGGCGACTAACGCCAAGGCGACAAACGCCTATGCGACTAACGCAAACTGACGACACACGTCAAAGGCGACTAACGCCAAGGCGACAAACGCCAATGCGACTAACGCAAACTGACGACACACGTCAAAGGCGACTAACGCCAAGGCGACAAACGCCAGTGGTGATGAGTAGACTTGCGTCTTGAACTCCCACCCGGCAGCCGGTCAATGAGACGCCTGCGGTGTCTCGAACCTCCACCAGCTGCAGGCCAGCGGGATGTCCCCGTCTGAGAACAGTCGTTAAAAGAAAATGAGCAAAGTGACAAAACAGTTCAAAAATTTCACCATCGAATACTATAGCACCAGTATCTGGGCACCATTCTAAATTCCATGGCATCACACGTTGAGTGGTTGGTTGAGCTGATTTAAGAGCATTACATTACATTGGATTACAATTTTAAACTGGATGTCAACTAGATTGTGGTGGAAATATTTTAAGGCCCTGACCTTATTTCACTATTGTAATTAATCTCTATTTCATGTACCGCGATCATACACGAATGCGGGATTACGCGCCCCAATACGAAAAATATGTCGTACTCATAACGAATTTTCTCAGGTTGATATTCTACGTCATAACTCCGCCGCGTTTCACAGCAAGTTGCGGGACGTATTATTGAAAAAAGAATAAACCACCTAGCAGTCCTGTTTTTCATTTACATTGACTGGGAATTTAGTTTAGTTTGTTTTAAGTATTGGATATTCTCTGCACATTCGTCATCGCTCCCTTCACATACTAGATTAGGTTTACACATCGCCTTTCAAATTTATTTATTAGTGAGGTACGTGCCCAAGCATCCTCTCATTTTTACTTAGTTATATTTCTTGGTGAGAAATGTTTGAGGACACAGGTATTTTGTCTTTAATATGCTGTATTGTTGTTTATATTTTTTTTGTTATACTCCTGTGATCTGTTTTTTTTTTCTCCAATAAACAAAATAAAATAAAAATAAAATTGCAGATGAGTTCATGTAATGATGTAATTGCAGAGCCTCCTCCTTTCTAGCGCTCGGGCTAACCTGACCACCACTTATATGTCTGTCTAAGTTCTCAAATTCGGTATTCAGAAACGAGTATTTTATTTTAATATTGATCGAAAAAAATAGAATTCTACCTGTACCTTTTTTTTAGCATTAAAATTCAGAAGAAGTACTTTGTTGATATAAACGAGCAAGTCATCAAAATCAATGAATTCCCGAAGCATATCATTAATTGATAATAGGTTTGTAAACAATAGATGAGTTTGTCAAACCATATGGCATCTTTCAGTATTCGTAGTTCCCTCCTGACGCGGACGTGACGAAGCCTGTGTAGCGAATACAGTCGTCCCTGATTCTCATTTCATGAAGTCGCCATATCAGGGCCGGTGACGAAGTTATGTCATCCTAAAAAATCAATTTAATGGTCAATAAATGAAAACGGATATCTTTTCTTCTCTGTATTGCGAATAAGTGCTCGAAAATCTTTTTCGTCACTGAAATTATTGAGCTGGCATATTGGGATCGAGATTCCCTAATGATGCCTTTTTCTAAGAGATCTTTCATTATTTCGCTAACTTGTACTATCTTCCCGTAAAAATAAATTGTATGGGCGATAAGTTATTGGAATTGAACTAGTAAGTTTGATGTTCATCTCACCTATACTGTACTGTAGTGGCAGCGGTACACGAGGAAATCCGAGAAAAGTGACAATACAAACATTGATGATTGCAGATTACTACCTGGCAGAGGGATTTTAATAAAGAGTTTTCGATGGCTGGTACTTGATTAATCTGACTGATCCCCGTGAGTGATATACTGTTGTTGTTACTCTCACATACATTACTCCAACACGATTCAAAACATCTGTCGTTATTCATGCAGGCTGACGGTACTACTACTAGATCTTAAAATGAAATATTGCTGAACTCAATAGTTACTGTATTGTGAGGAAAGGCAAAGGTTTCGTATTCATTAAAGTCTCGTAATGTACGTCATGTACTTGGATTGGCAATAAAGTAATTTAAAAAGGTCAGAAGAAACCAGTGATATGTTGTGATCACCAATATTGATAAATATCTTAATCGGTATGCACTATCAACTGCAGGAACCACATCGATATTTCTCACCAGCTTCGGTTAACATATACTTACATTTTGGTAGTTAGTTAATCTTGACCTATTCTTGACAAAACATGCGTCTTCACAGTGTCCTGTACTTTTAATAAATGCGCGTATTAAGACGACTTAGCAGCGGGAGTATAATTTTATTCTGAAAGTTGTTATTGTTGGTTTGTTTATTATTACAATTCGAAGTTCTGCAGATAAATCCTTAACCAATCGTAAACGTTATAATGTACGTCTCACATTCCCAGCGTATGTCGTGTTCATACATGCAAACGAAATGTTAACGGAGTCCAACTTCTGAGGACAGAGAGGTCTTAAATGAGTTTTAAAAATATCCATGTACGACCATTTGTGACCTATGAATTTAGTTATGTTTTGGCGTCGCCTTTTAAATAAGATGCTTCCCGGGAAAAATACTCATGATCTTCTACTGTCCACTATCATTGCGCGATCTACCTCTAGACATAATAAATCAATCAGAAGAATCAAAAATTGACACGTAATAATGAAGCGAATTTATGAGTGCGAGATTCTTAAGGGCTTCTGTCATAATGGTAAAATACGAAACTGACATAGTATCGGGATAGCGAACAGTGGTATCTTGATCGAGAGTCGTAGTCTGAGGGACATCGCTCAAGTTAACTAAACTATTTACGTTTGGTGACTCGTTGCCACTATTAACTATGTGATTGTGAACTACAGACACATTTCTTACGACCGATCCAGCAACATTTCCTGATAATTATGTTGTAACTCTACAACACTATTACTAAACTGATCGACAGCTTTGAGTCACTAAAATGTTATTCAAATTATCATTCAATGAATCACTTCCAAGTAAGTGTGATGCGGGTGAGTGTCGAGAAGCTTTACTGCAGCTTGACTCGTGTCTCGATCTACGACAACGAACTCGCGCTATGGAACCTAGGGTATCTATGTCGGCTAGATATCAATCTATTTTTCTCATGGCGTCATCTTTTTCTAATTTAGATCGATTACGATTCATTTTATTAGACATAATTGTCAAAAAGAAAACAAAATACGGTCGACCAAAGAATTTATAAAAAAGAGATCTTTATCCCACTTCTGAATTAAGGAACTTCGTTCGGATTTTTAAAAATAAAATAACAGTAAGACATTTGACAATTTGACTATGCGATATTAATTAAAATGAACAAATATAAAAGGTAAATAAAGGAATGGAATGATAACCTGCTAACTCCAGTTAAACAACAATTAAAGTACTTACAGAGTAATATCCTTAAAATAGCCTTAGACTAATTGCTAAACGAATATTAATAGTCGAAAACCCATGAGCGATGTTGCCTCGACGACGGACCACCAGAAAGTGCCGATGTTTCTTTTTGCGCACTGCTTCTATTTTGTTTCTTTTCCAAGGAGTTCCTAACTCGGCTTCTATTTTGTTTCTTGACCAAGGAGTTTCCTAACTATATATATATATATATATACACTCTGTATATATATATATATATATATATATATATATATATATATACAGAGTGTAGCAAATTATCCATAATCAATTAGTGTAGTGATCTCATAATATATGTATTTATTGATTGGTCTCTAATGGGATAATCGTGTGATTAATTGCAACCTATACGGATGAGACGAAACTTCTCAGCATTCTATAGATTCATTGTGCGGGTGTTGGGTCCATCGTTGTAGTGAGAGGAGCTTCAACAGTGACTGGGACTTGCGACCCAGGTGTAGGTTTAAGGGGCCCCTATCTAACGCGCGTTAAACTCTCACTTCCACTGACCAAGCTCCTCTCTCTACAAAACCGAATTTGAAAAAGACATTTAAGTAGTTGTGACGATTTTCCTGTAGAAAAATAGTTTTGTTTATCATGAGGAATTCAGGCTGTGAGATCTTCTTTGCTTGAGTCAATTAAGCCTATATATTTATATGTACGTTTGGCTTGATTTACATACAGAATGCTTACCACAAGTTTTCTTTATCGACACAAAATAAACGAAGTTTTTTCCGTTTTTATTCAGTAAACTTCGCTAATACTATCTGCGAACATTTATTAATGAAATACTGTTAACGTTGCGTATGTGGTATCGATGCGAACGTGGGGTAAGCGTTTTGAACGTGTTAAAATATTATATTGCGACATTTTTTAAAGATTCCTTTAATATTTCTGATGTAATTGAAAATGCTTCCAATATGAAATGCCTCTAAGTGATTCTTATTCTAACTTTATCATTCAGAAATTAATAGTCTCTCAGCGGTGTCTAACAGTAAATAGGTACAAACAAAAAGTAAAGATAAACTATTAAAAAGGTTTCCATATACGTAATATATAAATAACAATACAAAACCGCTAAACTCTCTTTTATATGATTTATATATTAGGTATTACAAGAAAATATTCGTAGTCGTAAGTAAGGACGTAATAGTTCAATTAACGAAGCGACTTTGATTCAATATCCCGAAAGTAACAGGTTCAATCCCATCTCGTATACAGCCTTTGTATAATAAACAACGCTTTTAATTTTCTTAATGTTAATTTAAGCTATAGTTCTAAATAGCCTGGTTATGTCATATTATGAGTACAAATGTTTCTTCTTTTCTCAGTGAATGCGTCCAAGACCCCTTCACCAACCAGCTTACGTGGAGCTGTGAGCATGACGCTTGCATCATGAGTGATGACGTCATCTATGGTGTAAATAGAGGGAATAGCTGGAGGGCCTACAACTATACACAGTTCTATGGGAAGAAACTTAAAGACGGAATCATATATAAGCTAGGTAATTGAAGTTATATATTCTTTTGTTTCTTAATACGTATTTATTATATTACGAGCTGCGCCCCGCGGTGTTACCGGATTTCCGGGATGTAAAGCAGCCTATGTTTTATTCCTGGACGTCAGCTTGATGTATACAAAATTTTATAAAAATCGCTTCAGCCGTTTGAGCTTGAAGAAGTAACAAACATACACACATTCAAACTTTCGTAATTATAATATTAGTAGGATAACATTTTTATCACATTTTATTCATATTACTAGCAAATGTTTTCTACTAGCATTGAATCAGAAAGGTTTCAGTGCATAAAAACGAAAGTAGATCGTAGTGCTGAGTGAAAGTGACCTAGCTTAGACTTTCATTACTTATGCACGAATTATCCAGTTAGATTCAGGCTTTGTGTTTAGAAACCATTGTGTTTGGACAAAGAAAGTGGCTTTGATAGTATAATATTGTTCAATCTACGTCTAAAACGTGATATGCAAATAAATCACTAGCAATTTGATCGTTTTTACAAGTCTGGAGTGTACTATTTGCTCCAATGCCTGGCCCAATACTGGACCAATGTTCTAATAGTGGTAACCACTATCAGTACAGCCGATCCCAATTTAGATAACGAATGTAATTAATGTTAATTAGGCAAAACAAATGCCTCACTATATCACAGAGGCAATAAATCAAAGAAACTAGGTATAATATACATTTAATGTTTTAAAATACTAAAGAATTCATTAAGATAGCCTAGATCTATGTTAAACAGATTTGTAGAATATATTATGATAATTTAAACTTTAAGACACTCGTAATAAGTTAGATTTTTGTTTGCACTATAATTCAGTAAAATTACGTACACCACAATCTTTTATAGCATAATTACTAACACAAAATTATGTTATAAGTTTATTCTGTTCATGTAAATATAGAATAATTTTATTTAATTTCAATACATTATAAGTTAAATGATTTTTTACGAAACAAGGTACAATGCCATTGAGCCATGAAACAAGACGCATGGGTCCTATCAGATATGACAAGGATATACCGTATCCAAGGGATTTCGACGCTCGTCGTCGCTGGCCGAACTTCATCTCGCCGGTGGTAGACCAAGGATGGTGCGGCTCGGACTGGGCGGTCACTATAGCTACCGTCGCTTCTGATAGGTGAGGAATACTTTGAAAATATCGTTATAGTCTTGCCCAAAATCGGTCTTGCAGTCTTGAATTTTTGCAAGACTAGGACCAAGACCATGAAAATATCATTATGGTTAGTGTTGACCTAAAACGGTCTTGCGCTCTTGCAGTCTTGGTCTTGTTATTAAATTTTTGTAAGACTAAAACCAAGACTATGAAAATATCATTATGGTTAGTTTTGCCTAAAATTGGTCTTGGTCTTGCAGTGTTGATCTTATTCTTGCATTTTTGCAAGATCAAGACTATAAAAATATTATGATGTATGGTTGTAAGGTGATGATTTCAATTATAATTCCTATGAAATGAGATTTAAAATTGTGACTATTTCTAAGATCCATTTGTGACGTAAAAGCTACCAAATTAAGATGATGTTTTATATTTAGTTAAATAACACACGAATAGCTTATCACGAATTTAATGGTACATAGTAAATTTGAAAATTTCAAGCATTTAAACATACCGTCTGAAGAAATTGATAGAATATAATGTAAGTGATTCAAAAGTGTACTTCATATATATGTAAATATATGACTGCAGTAACTTTTCTTAATACAAGTCTGCAATCATTCATCTTAGCTATAATCTAATCAAGCCACATCTAATGTGGAATCCATTGGTTCGTTAACAATCCTGTATAATGAACATCTGATATTGAATTTCTTTCATACTTATATTAATGCTGTATTGGATTTCAATAGAAACCTGTTATCGATATGTTTCCCATAGGAATCCTATGACGATGATGTTCATTGCTTGATTAAACATATGCTAGTTACTTTTTATGATTGAAATTTGAATAGTTTGTTAATAAATTAATATTATTTATTAGAAGAAAAGTGTTTTGAAATGAGTACTTAGACTTTCGCGAGTATTCTTCTAAATTAAATTTACTTTGATAATTTTTCATCTCGTCTGCCCGTGATCACGGTTGCTGCAAAGTAACCGAAACGTCGGAAGTATGTAGTAGAAATAATTTTAAAATGCGTAGTAAATCAGAAAATATTAGTTTTAATTGTCATGAAAATATAAGTTTAAAGTATAACGTATAATAATTTGTTTGTATATCTTTACTTTTGATAATAGTATATTATTTATATAAAAACTAAATTTCTTTGTGTATAAGTTCGGAAATCGTTGACTATATTGAGTTACATTTTTCTGAGTTATATCCAATTTTATACTAATTTTTTCCATCATAAATGTTTTCGCTCATAATGAAAACCGTTTTAGTGTTTTTTTAACATTATCAATAATAATACAATGCTTGATTTTCGTACAAAAGATATTTCAGTGTTAAAACGATCTTGAAAATTAAAAGGACCTCGTATTTGGAATGTAAATGTGATTCTTTGTGTTGTAAGGTAAGGTGTGTTTACATCACAAAAGTATGCAAATACGAGAACACTCTGTCTAAAAATAAGACGGCTCAAGATACAGAGGTACTCTTAAGTTTTCTTGAGGCTATTATGCGATTTTTTTGCACAATAGAAACTGTACTTTATCATGTCAGCGCGAGGGCCGCATTTTAATTGTTGTTAAGAAAATTAAAAATACTTTATAAGAACTGTGATTTTTCTTAAATTTATTGTCATGTTATTACAATTCCAACGTTTTTATAAGTTTTGATGATGCTACATGAATATATGCACTATATCATTTCCTCATTACATACTAGTGTATATTTTTATGAGTATAATTTTCTAAATTGTCTCAGAATTCAAATACATACATACATATATATGACAACAGTACAAGGAATAAATCTAATAATTGTAACGATAAGGCTGAAAACGACTCGTATCTAAAGCAATAAAAACATTTACAAAAATATATATATATATCGATATTCAGGATTTGATCTAAGCTCTGGATACAAAGAATACTTAGGCGATAGATCCACTATTTCCTCCAATTAAATCCAATCCAATCCACAGATTCGCGATCCAGTCAAACGGCGCTGAAAGGATGGTGCTGTCCCCTCAAGTGCTTCTCTCTTGTAACATCAGACGTCAGCAGGGCTGTCGCGGAGGACATATCGACGTAGCCTGGAACTTCGCCAGGGGCCACGGGTTTGTTAATATTCTATAATCTTTTGACAACCCTAGGTATTGGTAAACTGTATTCTGAAATGAAGCTTAATTCGTTACATTATAGTCTAATTTCGCTTATAGAGTCAAAAGCCAATGTAATATAAGTATGTATTTTAATAAGACCTTTATTCAACAGACTCGTCGACGAAGAATGCTTTCCTTACAAAGCCGCGACTACAAGCTGCCCCTTCAGACCGAAAGCTAATCTCATAGGTACTAAAAATATGTAATATGTATAACTTAATTCATACATTTCTTTAAAGCTTAACTTGTAAATATTACATTAGAAATAAAATCTTCTTTATTTAAAAAAAAGGCTTACTTGTAATTTCTGTTGCCATTAACTATAATATACAAATAAAGACAGTATAACAACATTTTAAAATTAATAAAATCTTGGCATAAACTCGCATATGTCAAATAGTTTAATGGATACTTTATATAATCTGTGGTTTCTTAATATAATCTATATGTATAGAGGACGGCTGCCGGCCCCCCGTTCGTCAGCGTACCTCCCGCTACAAGGTGGGTCCTCCCGGGAAACTCGCCACAGAAAACGACATCATGTATGACATTATGGAGTCCGGCCCAGTCCACGGTGAGCGATATATTACACAACAAATACAGTGTAAACTCCATATACCGTCACTCGAATTAACGACAAACTCTATAAAGCGTCGAAATCATTTGACTTTGGTTGCTTTAGCTTGTCCACCATACAGTGATACACTCTACATAGCGTCACACTCACTCTCAATAACGACAACAATTTTAAGTATATAACAAACCTCGCTTTCTTCTTCTTTACTTAGTGGCATTTCCTTATAGATCGCCAATGTCTTGCCGATTTTATCCTGAACTATGTAAAGGGATATTTGTGAATGAATAAGATCGCGACTAAAAGCTAAGAACTAACCTCCTTGCTTTGACAGGCTGTATAATGAAATGTTAAATGTCATATTTTCAGCCTGTATGGAGTAATGATAATGTAAAAAAATCATAGATACTTATTTACTTACTTAATGTTTTTTCGCGTCATTTTAATTCGTATTTTTATGTATTAGATGTTGTTCCTATATTTCATCTAGTACAGTGATTTGTTGAACTTAATCAATCCTAATTCAAAAGTTTTTATAACGCCTGTTTAAAGCAATTAATTGACAAAACATTATTTACTTATTAAATGAAATTTAAAACGTCTAAGCTATCAGCATTTTTTAAACTATATTCCTCCAAACATGTTTTATAATATTAGGTATAAATACAAGTCCATATATTTACTACGTTTAAAGGAATAAATTGAAAATATTTGACAATCTTAATAATTACTTTTTCATAACAAATCTGTAAAGGCCTTGGTCCAATATTTTCTTTATCTATCAAGGCCTTCAAACAGCATGTAGTTTTAATTTGTTTTTATTTGATAACATCTTTGCTTTAATTCTTTAGTATTTGTAATGTCTTATTTATTCTTCGAATTTCACCTACATTATGTAGGCTACATAGATTGTTAAATGTTATATTTGTTTTGCATTTAAATAAACGATGGATTTTTTTTTATTAAAATAAATATTTATATGAACTCAGGATTTTGTTACATTTTTCTGGCTGAGCTTTGGTAAACCTACATTATTTATTAATTAAATTATCTAGCATAATTCAATTTCCATCATATATAATCTATGAAAAGTTATTCCAAATCACGTTTCTGAACGTAACAACAACCATAAGTATACAAAATACGGAAGAATCAAATCAATAGATAAATATAATTAATTTGTTTTAACTGATATAATGTTTTTAATGGCCACTTGAAACAATTATATAGGGTGTGATTATGGCGATGAATGACAAAACACTTGAATGTTCTGAGAATATAAGCCATTAGTATGTGACTTCCTGACAGATAGTTTTCTTTGTATATTTATCTTAATAGACTCAAGTGCGCTCTGAAACTAATTAAGGGGGCTTGTATATGTTACAATGTTGTGTGTCAATTACGTCACTATTCGGTTACCATGGCAACCTATAATGAGAAAATTCTAGATATTCCAATGCAGTTTTAATTATTACAAAACATAAAGAAATTCGTCAAGTTTAATGGATATTTGGGTTGAGCTGTCAGTAAATTTTGAAATCATACAATTTAGATTTTTCCACAAAAACTAATATATCTAACGTTCCGTTACACGCAAAAGTAAAATTAATTATTCGATTTTAAAGTTTTTTTTTACTGTTCAAACTGAAACTAATGCTTGTCAAATATTTCCAGCCAGTATATAATAATAAACAATAAGTAAAATATTGTATGAATAACGATAGCTATATTGAAAGTAATTGAAGTATTGTTTTTTTTGAAATTTGGAATATAAATTAATATTATCAATTTCTTTCAGCTATAATGACGGTACACCAGGACTTTTTCCACTACCACGATGGTATCTACCGTCGTTCTCCGTATGGTGACAACACCCTTAAAGGTTTACATAGCGTCAGAATTGTAGGCTGGGGAGAAGACAGAGGTGACAAATACTGGGTAAGGATAAATAAATTATATGGTTCATACAAAGAGTTCCAATTAGAGTAGATTGTAGGGGAGACTGGGTATCAGTGAATCATTTTTTTTTAAAGAAGTGTTACTCCGTAGTTTATGACAAAATGATACATCTTTGAAATTAAATGATAATGCAAATATCTAATGTCTAAAATAAGAGACATTTAATTGCCTGTGTTATACATATTTACAAGCTATAGGCACTCTAAAAAAAATTAGAAATGATCCACTGTGGCCCGGGAACGGGTCACTTTGGATCACTGCACGGGTGACAGTGAATCGACCCAACACAGGATCAATTGCAAAGGAATATTAAAAAAACATCAATTTTTTGTATGAATTCCAGGTGGTAGCCAACAGCTGGGGCTGCGACTGGGGTGAGAACGGCTACTTCCGTATAGCTCGAGGCAGCAATGAGTCCGGCATCGAATCGTTCGTTGTAACCGTCCTCAGTGACGTCACTGAGGCCTACCAAAAGAAATAACAGCCGAAGTACCTGATCACGGCCCTGTGCGTCATCAGCAGACCGGTCAAGACCAACAAAGGCTGGATACTGTTGAACAGCACTAGGAATCACGGTGATTTCGTTTAGGTCGTGAATTTCTGGACGAATAATCCAAACTTCAAGTTGACATTTCAAGTTCTAGCCGTCAGTGTTCGATGAGGTTATATGTTTGACGTTTGTGACTGGCGATGTTCAATGTTGTTTTAGTAATTGAGAATTCTCCTTTTTTTTTAATTTCGAACGACTTATGTACTGTGGTACTTATTTTTTTACGAAAGTATTTTATAGATTCTTAGTGTAAGGCATGAAATGTCGTTAGTTATATTAGATATTTTCGCTGACATTATTTTTATAATCTATAGAAATATAACGGAATTATAAAATTTAAAGTATGTAAGCTATCTCAAAAGAAAATCATGCCTGTATATTGTATGCTTGTTATTAGCACGTCAATACTAGTGAATCCATAACTGCCATTTATTTTAAGATAAGTACAATTTACAAATCCAAATTACTATTTTGTTAAAAAAATATATATTAAATCCCATGTAAAAGCGCATTCAGACTCTCATAGCTAGTCTTAGTAAAACTAAAATTCTATTTTTAAATAACTTTATTATTCTTCTTAATTATAATAGACAATAAACTGTATACTTATAAGGTTTAAGTATAAAAGGTTTCATTATTAAAATATATGCTACCTTTTATTCTGCAATTATGAATGTGTTGGAATGTAGTTTGTATAACAAAAATGCTGTGCGGAATGTATGATATGAAAAAAAAGTATATTTTTGTATGAAAAATCAATAAGAAAACATACTTTTATTTCACGTTATACAAAGTTCATAGGATATGTTTTAAACTTAAGCATTAACAATTGTATTTATTCTTAATAATATTTTAAATGTAACAATGTTAATAAATATAAAATACATTTTGAAATTTGTTTCTTTATAAGTAGCCCATTGTTGGACTGCAAATTGAAATATTATGCCAATATAAAAATAACTTAACACAAAACAGAAACTGCTATAAAACTACTGAAAAAACAAAACAAAAATCTAAGTAATTATTTAACATATAAATTATGAATTGTTCTTGTCTCTCAGTCTTCAATATTTCATATTAATATATAAGAACTTTTACAGTATGAACCTTCATGGAGATTTTATTTATTTGAAACACCATCGGCATATTCACAATAACACTTATGTAATAACAGTACACGGACCAGTGCAGTGTGGTACACCACTACAGGCATTTACAGCACTATTTTATTTGTCTTAATCCGAAAACAGGAAAGCCTAAGTTATTATAGTAGTTAAATATTCAGAATAATATATAAGAGATAAGTAAAGCATCCCGATGGTGGAATATATATATATATATATATATATATATATATATATATATATATATTCACCTGGTCAATCGCATTATGAAAGGGTCTGGTATAGTTTTAACTTTTAAGTGTCATGTCGCTACATGTTATGTTGTTTTAAGTAATACGATTATCGAGTACTTAATATAAACATGCATCGCTATGAAATGCTTAGATGAAACTAATATTTTTCGGATTATACTACGCGATTTTATTGTTTTAGAAAAGTACATACTAATTCTTTTAAATGAAAATAATATTTTCGGGGTTACTACGCGATTTTCACGTCTGCCCATGATCACGGTTGCTGTAAAGTAGCCGAACCGTCAAGAGTATGTAGTTTATAGTCGAAAGTATAAAATGGCGTAGTAAATGCGAAAATATTAGTTTCATTTAAATGAGTACTCGCGAAAATCTTAGATCTCATTATACATACTACTTCGGCTTCGTTACAGCCACCGTGATCACGGATGGTTAATGATGGATTTCAAAGAACGTAAAACAGTCGTGAACTGCGAATTATACTTTTTGAATTTATAAATTACAAGACAATATAGATTATAGAGGGAAAACAAAGAGGCAAGCTGTCTAAGATGTTATGTTACTGTATGACAAAGAACCTGTTCATGTCGCTTTTGTCCAATATTCTATTATTTATTCCCAAATTTATAGTAGGATCTAAGAGGAAGTAAATGTTCAGCAATGAAGACCGTCTTTGGTTATTTTGAGGATGAAAATTAATATTATTTACATAAAGGTCTAGAGATATTGATTAACAGATGTCAGGAGTGTGTTAATGCTGATTATTTTTAAAAATAACATTAGTTTCGTTTCAATTCCTTCATAATGAAGCCAATTCATTATGGAACCTTCTACATACAAAATATATCCCTACTAATATTATAAATGCGAAAGTCTGTCTGTCTGTCTGTTACGCTTTCACGCCTAAACTACTGAACTGATTTTAATGAAATTTGGTACAGAGATAGAGTTGACTCTGAGAAAGAACATAGGATAGTTTTTATCCCAGACTTTTGATAGGTTCTCTTGGAAACGTGATATAACCGAAATCCACGGGGGCGAAGCTGCGGGCGGAAAGCTAGTATTCTTATATATATGTTTATGCTAACTGCTTTGTGGTTTCTGATTGACCTTACTCTTAGCCACTTTCTCTATATTCGCCGCTCTCATCTGTAAACAAATTGTATGTATTTTATTTCCACTGCAATTAAATCTTATTGGAAGCATAGGATATAACAAATACTATAATAATTACTATGCATATATTTATCGATGATATTCATATAATCTTAATATTTATGATAATCACATAGAAATTATAAAACTTCACTTCCACTATAGTAAAAAAAATATATTAATTTCATTAGAATTCCATTAAAGTAGAAACTCGATTATCCGGACTACAGACAAGTCCGGATAAGAAATAATTGTAAAGCGTAAGAGAGTGGTGTTGTTGAGAGTGGCGTACGTCAAATGACAATTACCAAATATTCTAAACCAAATTATGCTTATTACTTTATTTCATGATTAAAATCTGCAGTTTTTAGTACATACATGTATATGTAACCTAAGAAAATCTATCCTTTAATTATTTATTACTAAACATTGTTTTTCGTTAATATGTATTTGTTACTTTTTTTAAATAAATTAAATACTACATACGCTCGAAACCGGATTTTCTTCATACATTCGATTATCCGGATTTTCGTTTATCCGAATGCCTATCGACAACAATTAGTCCGGTTAATCGAGTTTCTACAGTATTTTCTTGAAATTAAGCACTAGTAATATAATTTATGTAATAGTTTATGGGCAAAACTCTATCAACATGACTTAAAGGAGTTCAGTTAAAATAAAATTGTATAAGTTTCATTTCTTACACACATATAAACATTTAAATTAAACTTACTATGTTTTATTACTGTATGTAATCTTTATTTAATATTATAAATAAGAAAGTAACTACATATGTCTGTTTATTACATTTTCACACCCCAACTGCTGAACTGATTTTGATAAATTTCGATGTAGAGATATATGGAACCCTTGAAAAAGACAGGCTAGCTTTTATAGCGATCCCGACTCCGTTTCCAAAACCACGTGGGTGGAAACATGAAGTGCAATTCGAATTCAATGGCCGTAGTGGCAAAGAACAATGTTATATTCACATGGATGCAGTCGGGGACAAAAACTAGTATACAAGAGTAATATCTTGTTTCAATATAATTTCTTGGAATTTAATAATTCAGCTATACTTTAATATACATTATATTATACTTTACATATTTTTGTTTTAATAAAAAATATCTATAGGTTAATATCAACTTACTTGCAATGATTGAACCCTTTTATGTAGACTCATCATACTGTTGCTGATTGCTGAGAGTTTTTCTTTGTTGGTAGCTATATCGGCAAGCTGCAAGAACAATATTTAAATTACAAGCATACATTATCCATAATATTAGAATTATTAGATACATCTTTAGTTAATATATCTATAAAAATTTGGTTTTGTTATATAATTTCAAATTTTTCAGTATAATATAAATGTATTTCTAAGAATTTCAGTTTTCAAACATTTGAATTCTTTAAAAAAAAAATTACTTAACATATAAAATAAATATATGAACTTAGGCACTCTATAAGTATTCAAGACTTAACTCAATGACTAGTGCTAGTACAGTAATACAGTTATGTTCTTAATATTCAAACAATGTTGTGCTGATAATTATATTGTAGAAAATATAGTATGAAAAGTTTTAAGAAAACCATTAGTAGTTTTCAAAATAAAACCTATATATCATCGGGGATAATCAAAATCTGTATAATTAGCATTGAATAGTAGTAGTTTTTCAATGAATTCTATATTATTAGTAGTAGTAGTAGTAACTCATTGTGAATAAATAGCATTAAAAGCCATTTATTTAGAAAATTATTAAGTTTTAAATATTCCTATATCAATCTTCTAATTATGAATATACACAATATAATTCAATGCTAGAAAAATGAATTTGCACTTTCCCCCACAATATAATTGGTAAATATACAGGGTGACTGGTGAATTACTATCGATACTTGAGGACGTGATATTTGATGATCATATATGACAAAATAAAAATTAATTTAACATAAATATTAATAAACTTCTAAGTAAAGTTAACCAAAGTTATGTAATTAATTACGCATCGTGTGAACACCCTACAGATTAGGTATACACATACACACACACAACAACAATATAAAACAACAACACACCACGCCGCCGCACGCATCCACACTTGGAACACTTGGAACATGTCCACACTTTATTTATTTATACGGAAATTTGGTCAAAAAATAAGTACCTATTTTTTTTACATAATTCGAATGAGAATCATGTACCGAGTATTCTCCTTAAATATTGATAGTAATTCACCAGTCACCCTGTATATAACATTTAATTTGCTGACTTGAGTTAGATTATAGCTAAATTGTTAAAACAACTGGTATGAGGTTGTAAGTAAGAATCCTACTTAAAGTGATGAAATTTTTCTTTCTAAACATTGTATATAGGACTTTTGCAAGTATTCATTTAAATGAAACTAATATTATTTGGATTACTACACATATTTTAATACTACATACTCCCAACATTTCAGTTACTTTTTAGCAACTGTGATCATGGGTAAACTTGATGTATGATGTAGTTATCCAAATAAAATTAGTTTCATTCATTGTATTTGATTCTTCATTTTACTAACCAGTGCATCAAGCATAGCGTCATTCTGTAAATCCTCTAGTCGCCTCCTTTCAGAACTGATCATAGTGTGTACAGCTTCTTGTTTATCACTACAAATATAAGATAATTTAAATATTAAACTAAACTCAACTATACAAAATATTTATACTTTTAAACAAATCTACTTTGTTATTTAAAAATTAAAATAAAGGTTTCATTAACAGTACCTATAACATGGACATTCGATGATATAAGGATTCGATTAAATAATAAGGGTTCAAAATGTTAAAAATGTGATAAAAGACGCATAAAGTATAATATTTCTGGTCTATGTTTGGTTATAATCTTGTATATATGAACTATGTATTACAATAAATTCATTATTAAGTTGATAGTGGCAGTGCATTTATAAAGTATGTCACATAATTCGCTGTATGTTTGGTTACGTATTTTAATTTTAATTTTTTGTTTTCTCTTGTTTTTAATGGAGTACTTCTGACTGCATTTTATTTATTATTATTATTTTTTTGTGCAGGTTAATTGTTATTGTTATTTTGAGTGGTGTGTTAAATGTTAAGATTTATTATTATTATTTTTTTTATATTTTAATTTTTAAGCATTAATTATAGTAACTTTAGTTTTTTCTTTTTTAATAATATTTTAATATATATTTATTTTATATCTTTTAACTATGGATTATGCCAATCGAATTAATATTAGCCCAATTTCTTACTCTTCTTCAAGTGACGAATTTTTTAGTGCCGAAAGCGATGATACACCTGACCTTCTATTAAATGATCAATTACAAACCATATTTTCTCCTTTTCATAATAATCTGAATATTGTTCATATAAACGCTCAGAGTATCCCTGCTCATTTTTCAGATCTTTCAGAGTGCTTCAGTAATAGTCAAGTAGACGCCATTCTAATTTCTGAAACTTTCTTAAAACCTTCGCTTCCTTCGATTCAATTTACCCTACCTGGTTACAAGTTGATTAGGAATGACAGAACTGGAAAAGGCGGTGGTGGTGTTGCAATTTATTTGCGATGCAATATTCCTTTTAGAATTATATCATCCTCACCTACCCAATACTCCGAATCAGCAGAATTCCTTTTTCTTGAAATTGTCCTATCCCACTCCAAAACACTTCTAGGTGTTCTTTATAGTCCATCTGTCCACATTGATTACTTCTCCACTTTAGATAATATCCTTAATAACCTTTGTCCTTTATATGATCACCTTCTGCTGATGGGAGATTTTAACACCTGTTTGTTGAAAAACGACAGTCGTTCTCGTAAACTCCTTTCAATTCTGTCTTCCTTAAACTTGCATTCCCTCTCCCTGTCTGCAACACATCACTTCCCTAATACGACACCTTCCCTACTTGACCTTATTATTGTTTCCCATCCTGACCATGTGGCTACGCATGGTCAACTCCCATCTTGCTTTTCCTATCATGACCTTATATTTATTTCCTATAATGTCCATCCTTCCAAAACCAAAGCTCCTTATGCCATTCGTCGCTGCTTTAATCAGATTGATATGAGTAAACTTAAAAGTGATGCAGACAGTATTGATTGGACGCAGGTGTTCAATGAGAATACAGTGAACTCAAAAATTGAAGTTTTTAATTCGAAATTAAGTAACCTGTATGATGTTCATGCCCCCGTTAAACGTATTCGAATAAAACATCGTCCTGCGCCCTGGATTACCGACAGTATAAGGGAAATGATGTCTAAGCGCAACAAAGCTAAAGCTCGCCTTAAGAAATTTCCAACGGTTGATAACTTGGACCGGTACAGATTGTTGCGCAACCGATGCAATAAATTATGTCGCGAAGCTAAGCGAAGGTACATCCACAACACTATCGACAATTCTGACAGCAAGCAGGTCTGGAGTTTCCTTAAATCTTTCGGTATTGGTAAAGTTCCTTTTTCTGGTGACAATTCAGTAGATCTCAACGCTTTAAACTCACACTTCTCTACATACCCTGTTCCTATAGATGATCTCACGAAAACAAGAACTATTTCGGATTTATCCAAAACTATATTACCGCAGTGTTCTTCATTCTCTCTACAGCCAGTTACCGAAGATGATGTGAGGAGGCATATTTTGTCCATTAAATCAGCAGCAATTGGTTGTGACGTGATATGCTCCAGAATGATTCTCCTTATTCTTCCTGAGCTCCTTCCAGTACTGACACACATATTTAATTTTTCCATTAGTTCATCTACCTTTCCATCAGTATGGAAAAATGCTCGAATTATTCCTTTACCTAAAATATCCAACCCTACCACTCCGTCACATTATCGCCCTATTTCAATCCTTCCTTTCCTCTCTAAAGTTCTGGAACATGTCATTCACGAACAGTTAGCACAGCATCTAGTTTCTAATTGTCTTCTGAATCCTTGGCAGTCTGGGTTCCGGCCTGGTCACAGCACTGTAACAGCCCTTCTAAAAGTAACAGAAGACATTAGATACGCTATGGACAATCGCCAGCTTACTGTAGTCGTATTACTTGACTTCAGTAATGCATTTAACTCTGTAGATTTCGACATTCTGTTAAGTGTGCTTAGGTCTATAAATGTTTCTTCCTCTTCGTGTAGCTGGTTCGAGTCTTATCTTCGAGGACGCTCGCAGTGCATCCAATTGGGTGAACTTCACTCAAATTGGTGTAATCTTAAATCGGGTGTTCCTCAAGGCGGTGTGCTATCTCCCCTATTATTTTCCATCTTCATTAACACTATATCTGCGGTAATTTCTTCTAAGTTTCATCTTTACGCTGACGATCTACAATTGTATCGCCACTTTAGTGTTGCGGATGCTACAACAGCTATTGCCGGGGTTAATGAAGATCTTAGACGTATACACAGTTGGGCTGAGCGGTTTGGACTTGTGGTTAATCCTACGAAATCACAGGCTTTAGTTGTTGGTAGTCGTAATATGCTCAAATCATTAAATCACATTTCTCCTTTGGTGTATAACGGCATACCAATAAACTATACCGATTCTGCTAAAAACCTAGGTCTTCATTTTAGTAACGACCTGTCCTGGTCTAAGCATATCAACGAGGTAAGTAAAAAACTTCTCTTTTCTATTCACTCACTAAAAAACTTGCAGTACTTCCTTCCCATCAAAACTAAAATTCTTCTTGTCCAGTCTCTTCTCCTACCTATCTTAGACTACGCTGATTCCTGCTACCTTGACACTACTGAAGAACTACTTAATAAACTTGAGAGGCTACAAAACCTTTGTATTCGGTATATTTTCGGACTCCGCAAATTTGACCATATCTCCAAATATCGAGCTGAACTCAAGTGGCTTCCCGTAAGACTTCGCAGGGATACTCACGTTTTATGTCTCCTTTACAACGTCCTATTTAATCCCCTGTACCCTACTTACCTTCGTGAGCGTTTTGCATTCCTGCATCCCCCTGGTTCCCCTTGTCGCCCCAATGTCCAGTTATTACTCCGTATCCCATCCCATACTTCCAATTTCTACTCAAACTCTTTCTCTGTCAATGCAGCGAGGCTGTGGAATTCACTACCGGCTACTATTCGCACTTGTAAGTCCTTCTACACTTTTAAAAAGAAATTAAAAGAGTACTTCCTATCCAATATTGATTCGTAATTAAATGGCATAGACATATTTATTTATTTATGTATTTATATATTAGTTTATGTATGTATAATTATCTTTTAATATATATTATGCGTTCCGTTAGACGTCCGAAGTCCATTATGAGAGTACATCGCAGTCTTCGCCTCACTTGGCCGCTAGATGTCGCTACTAATGGTCGGTAACTGATTACCGACCACCCTACCTGTCACTTCCGGTGCGGACTGTAGTCTAGCTTTTAAATCCAAGCCACCAATTTCGTCATTGTTGCATCGTTTTTCGAGCCGAGCACTTGGTCGTTACGAAAAACTGTAAAAAGTCATAATAATTGTCGCTATTTTTATTTAAATACCCTACGAAATAAAAGTGAATATAAAATGAGTGATCGAGAAGATATCGTGCCTACTGAAGAGAAGAGTTCAAGCGAAGGTAGCTCTTCGGAAAGCCTTTCGGATCACGAGGAGCCGCCGAGAAAACGCCAAAGGAGAGCCAGTCTGCAGGACCTGGAGGAAAGGTTTGACATATTGTCGCAGCAGCTGGTGAGTCATTTAAATAATGTTTTATCGGCTAGGTTTTCTCAACCTACGCATAATGAATCCACAAACGTGCAAGTACCCTTATTTAATAGCTCAAATAATTCGGTATTATCGGCCAATGAACAATTTTTATGTCCGCCGAAATTAAATGCGGGTGGTATTGTTAATTTAAACGTGGCCGTCACAGAACCTTCTTTACCGAAAGCAAAGCCAGCTCGTGTTGACAGAATAAGGGTTATGCAAAGATTTGATTCACCTGACTGGAATGCGGTTCGTTATACAGACGTTCAGAAAAAATATGTGGCTTTCCCGGCGTTTACGGAATTAAAAGTAAATGAGGAACTGCGACGTTTAGAGGATCCTTTTACTCCTTTACGTTGGTTTCAAATGGAACGTAGTTTTGCCGCGTTATCCAACGCATTTTTAGCCCAAAACGAAGCGATAAATTCTGCTTTACAAACTCTCATTGATTGGTGTGCGTCTACCGACACTCAACTCAACGCTACCGTCATTTATGAAAAATTAAACCAATTATTTGGAAACGATTCCGATTACAAAACGGTTTCTCACGATATACTACAAATGATTTGCGGCAAACGGGCTGAAGTTTTAGAGTTACGTAGGCGGGATTTAGTTAAAAAATTAAAAGATAAATTTACGAAAGAAGACCTTAATAAAATACCTCCTTCTTGCGAGTACATGTTTGATCCCGGTCAGCTGTCAATATATTTACAAAAAATTGGCGGGGTAGATAAATTACAAAAACAAACTTTATCATCTACCCGTTCTCGTCCGAAATCGCCTGAGCCTTCGACTTCATCCAATATCCAGTCGTTTCGAGGTCGAAAAAGTAACAATTTTAAAGTCAGGCAGGATGAGACCAAGGACCGTATCGGATTTCATCCGAAAAACTCCTCGACTGCAAGAAAAGGGGGGAGGAAATATAGAGCAGAGGGCGGAAGGCAGGGGTATAAAAATAAATGACTCGATGATTTTTTCAGGCGGTTGTCTGAAAAATTTTATAAAAATTTGGCTACAGTTCAATGCACCCAAATCAATATGCAAAATAATTACTGGTCTCAAGATACCATTCACCCAGCCACCGCCTCTAGTTTTCCCAACTTTAGAGGTTTTAAGGAAGTATCAAACTCCGACTTCAAATATAATGTCGAACGAAATTCAAAAATTAATTCATTTGAAGGTTTTGGAGCCAGCACCGCTAACACCTTCCTTCATTTCTCCTCTATTCATAATTTCGAAATCCGACGGGAAAAGTCGAACAATATTCAATCTCAAGGCATTAAACCAGTACATGAAACCAAAGCATTTCAATCTTTTTCATCATCACCAAATACCCAATTTTCTTCAAAGAGGAGATTGGATGGTGAAACTGGACTTAAGCCAAGCCTATTATCACTGTCCTGTAAAAAATCAGCACAGAAGATTTCTTCGGATCAGCTATCAAGGTCAACTTTTGCAGATGACATGTCTGCCGTTCGGGCTAGCAGCAGCGCCTCGAATTTTTGCCTCCGTAACGAACTGGACCGCAGAAATACTTCGCAAGAAAGGGCTGCGGTTAGTAATTTATCTCGACGATTACTTGATAGCCCATCAGGACAGAGATATACTCACAACTCAGGTACAGGTCGCAACACAATTTCTGACCGATCTGGGTTGGTGGATCAATACAGAAAAATCGATAATGACACCAACGAGGTGTATCGATTATTTGGGAGTGGTATGGAACACCAATACCAACACAAAGTTCTTGCCCTCCGACAAGGTCCAACGAATTCGGCAAATATTACGTGCGCGGCTCGTGGCCCGTACTTGGAACCTAAAACAGGCTCAGCGCCTATTAGGTCACCTAAACTTTGCAACCTTCATCACCCCCAGGGGAAGGTTACATTGCCGGTTATTACAGTTACACAGCAACAGGCTCAGGCAGTGTCCACAATCCCAGATTCAGTTCTCAGAAGAGGTACGTACAGAACTGATTTGGTGGACAGAAAATATCGGCGGACAGTCACCGATTCATCCCAAAAGAATGTTGACGAACCACGTCATCACCGACGCGTCAGACATTCAATGGGGAGCCCTTGTAAACAACGAACTGATAAAAGGTGCATGGGGAACAACATCAGGCAAATTGGCATTGCAATCTGAAAGAAATGTGGGCAGTGTTCACCGCGATATCAGTCAAAGCGATAGAGCTACGAAACTCGACAGTGATTCTTCAGAACGACAACCAAACGGTCGTGACCTACATAAAGAACGAAGGCGGAACACGATCACGTCAATTGTTAGAATTGACCCGACAACTCCTGAATCTAGTAGACCACTTCAACATTGTGCTTCGCCCGCACCACTTGCCAGGTCTCCTGAACACCGAAGCCGACCGCCTGTCTCGAAACCGCGCGCCCGTCGAGTGGCATATCAGAGACAAAGAAACTTCAAGGTTGTTCAGCCTGTGGGGCACACCCGATTTAGACCTCTTTGCTTCGCAGACGGCACATGTCGTGGCAAACTATTGTTCTCTAGACTTGTCAGACTCGAACGCCTACTTTCACGACGCTTTCAGCAAATCGTGGCATTACAGACTTGCATGGCTGTTCCCACCACCCAGCTTAATACCCAGGGTTCTGGATCATCTAAATTCAGCCTCGGGTCAGTTCATCCTAATAGCCCCCAAGTGGAAGAAATGTTTTTGGAGGCCAGATGTGAAGAATCGTGCCATAAGGCACCCTGTGAAACTCAGAAATCTGAACGAAACTTTGGTCGACACAGCAACAATGCAACCACCAGCGAAAGTCGGAAAGTTACACCTGGAAGCCTGGCTGATTTTGGGTGGGACGATTTAACAGAGACATGGACGCCTCAAGAGAAACAGTTATTGTCATCTTGCTGGAGGCAGTCTACCATTAAGACATATGCCCCAATTTGGAGTAGATGGGTAAGATTTTGTCAAGGAAATAGCATAAATTTTCGTTTACCGAAGCCAGCTAATGTAGCAAGGTACTTAGCCTATCTATTTTTAACCCATGGTCTTTCCTACCGAACCATTCTTGTGCATAAATCAGTCATTGCATCCGTTTGTGAAACGATATCCGATATCAAGGTTTCTACAAATCCAATAGTAAAACATATACTCAAAGCTATTTCGTTGGCAAAACCTAAACCCCCTAAGCTTCCGATTTGGGATGCCAGGATATTGATTAGGTCTTTAAAAAGTTGTAATATAAATTTAAATAGTTTGTATCAAGTATCCAGACATACAGCAGCTATATTATTATTATCATCTGGTCGTAGAGTACACGACCTCACCCTTTTGCACGTAGATGAACTTCACTTTGTAGATAATATAAATTCGATAACCTTGCATCCCATTTTCGGTTCTAAGACGGACTCTTCTTCCTACCAACAATCTAGCTGGACCTTTTTATCCTCACCAGACAAGAGCATTGATGCAGTATATTGGTTACGTACATTAGTAAATCTGACTCGGAATACCCGAGGAGGTATAACAAATTTATTCTTAGCGACTAGAAGTCCTACAAGGCCAGCAACTGCAGCAATGATCGGTGGTTGGATAAAGAAACTTCTGGCTGAAGCTGGTATTCAGGCGCCAGCTGGAAGTTGTAGATCAGCAGTCTCTTCTTTAAATTGGGTAGAAAATTACCCTATTAATGAGATTTTAGCCAAAGCTAACTGGCAGCATGAATGTACCTTTAGAAAATTCTATCTAAAAAATATAGATGATTTACATACAAATATCACGTCAGAGAAGTCTCTGTCTCAATATTTTCAGCCTGATCAATAATTGATTTATGTAATAATTATGATTTTAAATTTACAATATATTGCTAATCACATTGTTGCATTTTAATATAAACATATATTAATCAAGCCACCAGGAGATAACAAACAAACTCTCATAATGGACTTCGGACGTCTAACGGAACGCATAATATAAAAATTTTACCTTTACAATAAAATTTGTATTATGCTTCCAAGACGTCCGAAGTCCCAGTAATGTCTTCCTGGTGCTATGTCATTATGAGCCTAACAATGACGAAATTGGTGGCTTGGATTTAAAAGCTAGACTACAGTCCGCACCGGAAGTGACAGGTAGGGTGGTCGGTAATCAGTTACCGACCATTAGTAGCGACATCTAGCGGCCAAGTGAGGCGAAGACTGCGATGTACTCTCATAATGGACTTCGGACGTCTTGGAAGCATAATACAAATTTTATTGTAAAGGTAAAATTTTTATATTTTTAAGTAAAATTAATTTTAATGTTTTTTTTTTTTTTGTTATTATTATTATTATTATTATTTTCTTCTTGTTTAGTATTAGTTTATGTTTTTTTTTGTTTTTTTGTTGTATCTTTTATCCTTTGTTCGATTTTTCCGTCTACCTTAAGTTCTCTATCTACACTTCTCCCTTCCCGGGTATACTGGAAGAAATCCCTTCTAGGGATAAGTATACCTTTTAAACTTATTTTTCCTGTGTTATATTCTTTTGTCCTTTATGTTTCTGATGTTTAAAAAATTGTTAAATAAATAAAAATAAATAGAAGACTTACGTTAATTCTTTTAAATGTGTATTTAGTGACACCAAAGGAGGCTCGTATATTTCCATTATTCCTCTAGCCAGTAACTGCACTGTTTTTAAGTCTTCAGGTGTTGAGTTTTCTTGAACACTGGAAAATGTTATTTTTTATCAAGTTTTATTCACATTAACAACAATAAACTAATCTATAAAATATACTTTACTTTTCAGTTGTCGACATATTTTAAGTAAAAATATAGAAAGAATATATCTTTTTCTTTATTATTGAATATATTATATTAATTAATAAATAAATATATATGAGTTATGACCAAATTAGGATAAAATTTGACAGTTTTGAAAGTCAATTATTTTAATGACGACTAAGTGAATTGTCATTTATGTACTTTCAATTTCAGTGATACTCTACAACTAATCTCACAAAATAATATTGGTTTAAGTATTTCAATTAAAGAAATAATCTTATAAAACCTGGGTTTTTTAAATGTAATAAAAAATAATGATTCCATAAGGGATTTTAATAATTTATTATAATCTACAAAATAAAACGTGAAATGGAATGCATAAAAATTTGATGGCCGCCAAAGTTCTTGTTTATTTGACGTTCCTTGATCTTTCATTTTCCGTTGTTCAAGGAGGGGATTTACTGAAATATATCGCATTAATTGCGGCTATACGTTCATATAAACTGTAAATTAACGTTATCAATCTGGAAGTCCTACAAGTAAACCGTGGGGAAGGCGAGATGACGTCTGTTGCTAGACGAAGGGAACAGGACGATTCGGGCGAATATTCGGACGCATCACAAGATATCGAGCAAAACAATTCTGGAATTGTGAGTCAAACGGCAACACAGTTCGTAGTTAATTGAGTGAACTTTCATTTTGGGGTTAGAAGTATTACAATCGCACACTTTCTCTGGCGCATTCGCGTGTCGGAATGCCCATTTCTTTTTAGTAAATTGAGGTCATAGAGCGAATGTCCACTCTTAATCTACCGGTGGACGTCGCACTATACAAATCAAAAGAGTCATCACTATCTTCAGCATTAAATATTATCAAACTATCAGTGTGTGAAATGCAGTTGTTAAAAGTTGGCGTTGATTTTCAGGATGGCGCTCAGCATGAATCCGATTATGACTCCCAGGGATCAGAATCTGAGCATTCCGATGGCGATCCAGAGAAACAGGTACATCATTTTGTTTTAGTAATTATCATATTTATATTATAATGAACTAAATAGATCTCAATGAAATCCTATTAGTATGTAGGTTAAACATCATTGTTACTTGGACTTTTCATTGTTGATTATCTTATATGCAATCATAATATAAACAATATTTTATATGAGAATATTTTTTATATGCTTATTAGAATAAAATTTTGCAAAGAAAGTAAAATAAAGTTAATGTATTAGGTGAAAGCTTTGCTATTACCAGTCCATAAATTTAATAGTAGAATATGTATTCTAGTAGATTAATATGCAGATAATTTTATTTTTAAATTACAATACTATCTTACTTATTAGATCAATGTTAGTGTCATATTTTATATGTTCAGTATTCAATAAAAATATATTAAATTTATAATATATGTATTGTGTTTAGTAGCAAGACTGAATGACAGAACCTAATATAATAAATTCATCTACCTACATTATACTTGACATCATATAATTTAACAATATTGAGCAAGTATAAATAATACTCAATATACCTTTCCCCTTAGTACTTAATGTATAACTAATACACTTTTCCCAAAGAAAATCGATGTCAGGCAGGCGGCCAGTTGTAAAAACAATTAGCCAAAACTATTCACAATATGCAAGGCAGACCCTGGCTAAAGCTGGGAAATTGCCAGGAAGAAGAAGAAGAGTATATAACTAATACACTATAATATGTATGTAATTGATATAGGAGACAGAACGCCGTGTTGATGATGATGAAGATCGCAGCAATCCACAGTACATTCCAAAGAGGGGCACCTTCTATGAACATGATGATCGTACAGCAGCCAGGTAAAAAAGTATATATTTATATGTATATATCTTTTATATGAAAATACCTAAATAATGCAAACATATTACAAGTTTTCATAAAAATATGTAGTATTGGAAGTCTGTCATTACTTACCAATTTTAATCACAAATTATTAGGTAATAATCTGAAAAAATATTGGCAATAAATGTTCATAAAATATATTATATAACACATGATCAGATTCATTATGTTAAATTAAATAATAAGATAAATCATTAAATTAATTTTATAGCAATTATATTATGTGTAAATTTCTAATAGTTTTTGGTACATTTTTTGTTATATCTCAAGTTTCAAAGCCATTGGGATTATTGAAAGTAATAGTACAGTCACTTTCACTATAAAATAAAAGTAATTATATGTAGTTCTACAGACATATCTTCATTCTTTGATATTTATTTGCTTCACATATGTTTTTTATTCCATTAGATTAAATAATTATATTGAGTCTTATGGCTATATAAATAAGGTCACAATTGACCAATCTGTTCGTTGATGTGTAAAGTTAATTCTGTAATATCCAACTTTAATGTAGAAAGTTGTATACATCCATTGTAATGATGATTTGATATTACTTCTTTCTATGAGATTTCACAAAACATTTAAATATATTAACATAGGAATCTTATGAATATGGAACATATATGATTGATCTAATTACTCTGAGCAGCATTTTATTTATCTAATTAAGGAAAATCAGAATGTCTATATAAAACATATAAAAATATTCTATTAAACAGATATTTTTTCATATCTAAGTTCTGATATTTATACAGGGTGACTGGTGAATTACTATCAATATTTAAGGAGAATACTCGGTACATGATTCTCATTCGAATTATGTAAAAAAAATAGGCACTTAATTTTTGACAAAATTTCCGTATAAATAAATAGTGTTGACACGTTCCAAGTGTTCCAAGTGTGGACGCGTGCGGCGACGTGCTGATACAACACTACGCCGCCGCGAGCGTATGTGTGAGTGTGTGTGTATACCTAATCTGTAGGGTGTTCAATTAATTACATAACTTTTGGTTAACTTTACTTAGAAGTTTATTAATATTTATGTTATATTAATTTTTATTTTGTCATATATGATCGTCAAATATCACGTCCTCAAGTATCGATAGTAATTCACCAGTCACCCTGTATAATAATTCAATATAAAAAACTTATTTGATACAGTAATAAGTGTGTTAATTTAAATAAAATTAATATTTTTCTGATATACTTCGCGACTTTATTTTGTAAAAAACTTCATACTGCCGACGTTTCGACAACTTTTCAGGAAACGTGATCTCGGTAGTATATACAAAAATATTAGTTTAATTTAAATCTATGTTATATTTACAGTGGTGAGGAAACAACGAACACTACATCAGAGACGGTTTCCGAGAAGAAGGAAGGAGTGGAGCCTCCAGCGGAGCGTAGAAGACCACCCAGGAAGGCAGATGCTGACAATAAGTGGGCCCACGACAAGTACAACGAAAACGAACAGGTGACGGAACATAAATACATACACACATGGACATAATGACATATATATATATTAAATGTTCACATAAATACAGACAAATGTTGATTTACATAGGTATGTATGTGTAATAAATTGTATGATAACCCACTACATTACACACATATGTAGATACATATATATACACAGTTTGAAATACAATGATACTTCATATAAAAAGGACAATTTGGATCTTCATTTTTGTTTATCTTTATTTAGGGATATAATAGAAAAGCAAAGCAAATTTCTATGAGATCTGTAGAATAAGTGTTGCTGTACTATACTGTGTTTAAATATAAGTTTGTGTTTTTTCCGAGTCATATGTAGTTTCTATGAATATTTAGACACCACTGATATTTGGTGAAGGAAAACATCGTGAGGAAACCTAGACTTATAATTTCAAATTAAAAGTTTGTAATCACCAACCCGTCTTGAGCAAGTGGGGTGATTAATGCTCAAACCTTCTCCATGTGAGAAGATTCCTTTGATGCCTTTTAATATCTCAAATCTAAATATTTCACATGCAAAACTTAATTTCACAAAACATCATTATTAATATGTATATGCATTAATAAATTATTTGTCTTCAAATTAAAAATTGTTACACTCACCATTATAACTGTACTTTCTGATAAACTCAATCATTTTAAAATGTTATTTCGTTGTTTCGTTCTTGTGTGTCCATCAACATAATCTAATGGTTTTATATTATTTAACCATGCTATTTAGTTAAATTTGATGTTTATAATGATTAATCCCATCCCATTTCCATTAACTATGTTTGCTGGAAGGTAAAGACATTAGTGTTATTCAGGTATAAAATAAGAAAAAAGTCGTAATATCTGAAAAATTTAATTACATTTATTATGATATACTTTCCAGATTCCAAAGTCTCGTGACGAGCTAGTAGCTATATACGGCTATGATATAAGGAACGAAGACGCGCCGCCTCACGCCAGAAGGAACCGTAGATATGGGTATAATGGGACATAATAATTATTGACCTACTAACATAATATTAAAGTTTGTACGTATTTATTTATCGATGTTTGTTACACTTAAAAACAAAAATTACTCAGCTGTTTTTTATGAAACTTTGCGATAATGTAGCTCATATAAACGATTAGGATATAGGATATACTTTATCCTGTTATTAGTGTTGTTCTTGTAGAAAATCAGCGTAAATTGATTTTTTGTATGTAATCACGTGACATAGGCGATAGATGGCGCTGGTGGTGAATCAAAGCCTCTATAGTCAATACAGGCTAGGAATAGTAAAAAAAATCATTACGTTACGAATTTTTTTTACAACTAACAGTTCAAAAATATACAGGGTGACTGGTGAATTACTATCAATATTTACGGAGCATACTCGGTACATGATTCTCATTCGAATTATGTAAAAAAAATAGGTACTTAATTTTTGACCAAATTTCCGTATAAATAAATAAAGTGTGGACTCGTTCCAAGTGTTCCAAGTGTGGACGCCTGCGGCGGCGTGCTGATACAACACCACGCCGAAGCGCGCGAGTGTGTGTGTGTGTATACCTAATCTGTAGGGTGTTCACACGATGCGTAATTAATTACACAACTTTTGGTTAACTTTACTTAGAAGTTTATTAATATTTATGTTATATTAATTTTTATTTTGTCGTATATGATCGTCAAATATCACGTCCTCAAGTATTGATAGTAATTCACCAGTCACCCTGTATAAAGTATACTGTTGCTTGTGTAGGCTATTCCAAGATTTTAAAAGAGTAGTCAGGATTTATTGAGACTAAAGAGTTTTAAGTTTCAAAAAACTGACTTAGCAAATTTGTACTACTTATATGTTAGCATAAAAATCTACATGAATATTTTAGTTTATTTGAATAACTCTTGTAAAATTTTTACCTTACTGTTAACGCTACAAGGAGGTACCGACATTGGCGGTTAGTTAACTGTACTTGTGAACTATCGCATGACATGTTCGAGTAATGCATGGCTTTATAATTATAATACTTATAAAATGCTTAGTCAATATCAGTTCCAAAACTAAGATATCTCCAGTACTATTAAAATTATAACTTTTATAATCTTTGTATGGTTTCAATATTAAATACGTAGCTTTTAAGTATAATTAATCTTTATTTGCGAATGCTTTTAGCTTATATAAATGATAATAAAATGTATTTATTTAGCAAATGTATGTTATAAAATGTTTTCCATGGATAATGTATGGCTTTGAAAGCTTATTAAAACAGTGTTATTATTAGACATAGCAATATTTAATTTCTAACAACCATTAAGTATAAAATCTTTCTTTAAATATCTTACTACCCTTAATATAATGTTCTTTGTATGTATTTTTATAATCTCTATATGTATATATTCTATATATTTATAATTATTTTTCCAGTCGCGGCCCTAACAAGTACACGCGCACGTGGGAGGATGAAGAAGCTTATCGCCGACAACTGGCTCACAAGAAGCCTCCCAGCCCCGCTGACTTCCCTGAACTGGGAGCAACAAACAAACCCGGGTATATAACATAACTTGACAATATATATAGTGCTTTTGGAAAATAATGTATATAACTATATACTAAAATAATGGACGCGGGGTATATAATATAACAAAACAATTTTACTTAACTATGTGGTAATCCTTTTCAAAAATATTGTTCAAATATTGGAAATAATATCCATTGAACACACTGACATGTACATACTGAATAGTTTGTTGAAATTTATCATTTAATTTACTAAGAATATAAGATATATGATTATTATTTTTAGAATAAGAATGACTACTTAAACCAAAATGTTATTATATCGTATTACTTTTATATAGCAAATAATAGCAATATAAGGAACAATGAATATATTGTTCGAGCTAAAGTTTCAGACTTCATTTTTAATGTTCAGCGTTATTTCCAGTTATCTTACAAAATGTCTGAAATCAGTATAGTCTTCAAATACAAGTTGACACTTAAATGTCATTACAAAATTGCAATGATTCATTATTATAATTAATTATAATGTTATTTATATAATTCTAAGGAATGTCGTATACTAGCTGAGCCCCGCGGTGTTACCCGCGGATTTCCGGGATTTCCGGGTTGTAAAGTAGCCTATGTGTTATTCCTGGACATCAGCTTCCTATATACAAAATTTTAACAAAATCGGTTCAGCCGTTTGAGCGTAAAGAAGTAACAAACATACACACACACTCACAAACTTTCACAATTATAATATTAGTAGGATTATAATGTTATATATACAGGGTGACTGGTGAATTACTATCGATACTTGAGGACGTGATATTTGACGATCATATATGACAAAATAAAAATTAATATAACATAAATATTAATAAACTTCTAAGTAAAGTTAACCAAAAGTTATGTAATTAATTACGCATCGTATGAACACCCTACAGATTAGGTATACAATCACACTCACACATAAGCGAGGGGGGCGTGGTGTTGTATCAGCACGCCGCTGCACGCGTCCACACTTGGAACACTTTGAACGTGTCAACACTTTATTTATTTATACGGAAATTTTGTCAAAAATTAAGTGCCTATTTTTTTTACATAATTCGAATGAGAATCATGTACCGAGTATTCTCCTTAAATATTGATAGTAATTCACCAGTCACCCTGTATAATTCTAAAGAATATAGTATATTAATACATCACAGTAGGCGCCACTTGTACCAGTAATGTTATTTACAGACGAAAGCCGAGAGCCAGACCGCGTTCAAAGTCTCAACCGGCGTCCAACGAATCATCTGAAAACGGAGCGCAGTTAAGACGGAACGCCTCTATAAAGACGCCCAAACAGAAACCGGTTAAAACTAACAAGACTAACCAGAAGCAAGCCGTTAAAGAGAATATAGTTAAAATGGAGAACTTGACTATCACAACACCGGTTAATAACAGCACGTAAGTCGTTTGTGTGATGTTGTGCATAATACTTCTGGAAATATTTAATAACAAGCTTTTCGCCCGCAGCTTCGCCCGCGTGGAGTTCGGTTATATCGCGTTTCCAAGAGAACTTTTCAAAAGTCTGGGATAAAAACTATCCTATGTTCTTTCTCGAGGTCAACTCTATCTCTGTACCGAATTTCATTAAAATCAGTTCAGTGTTTTAGGCGTGAAAGCGTAACAGACAGACAGAGTTACTTTTGCATTTATATAGGTATTACATTTAAATGACGTCTTTAATACTTTTTAACCAACTTCAAGAAGATTTAGAAGTTTCAATTTTGTCCCTTAATAATGTTATATAGTTTTTTATTTTATGAACATTCTTGTATTAAAAATATCTATAGATATCAGGAGCTTTTCATATTTCAGTTTCACTGTGTTGTAAGAATTGATTTTGTAGTGCATAAATAGATTATTACTTAACGTAATGCTATTGCTAATTAACTTTACAAAATATATTACAAAATATATTTTGTAAAGTTAATTTAAGTGTCATGTTTTTTGTGAGAGTGCTAGTGTCCCTCTGATATAAGAAGAGTGTCAGTGAATATAAAATAATATTAAAAATCCAGTTACATTGAAATAATTAGTGAATACTTATTTTAAAACCGAGTTATAGCATTTATTGGAAAATATATTTTTAGGGCTAGCTAGCCATCACATTTTTTAGGCCCACCCACATTTACATACATTTCATCATCTACTTGTAATAGCCAAATGTCGTTAAATATATACAATTATCTTATTACCAAACTACTGATTTTTTACATATAAACATGTCAGAGATCTACATATAAAGAACATCATCAGTTTAAAAATGTAACTAACTTAATTATAACTATTTTATTATTGAGTACTAGAGTGTAAATTATTGCAGACAGCGTCGTGTAAGCGCTCAACAACGACCCGTGCCCACTGAAACTAAACACTCACAGGTATATATTAAATAATTAATTAACATTTGAATAGTATTTATTGCTATTAAATATAATCTTCCATTGAGTTAAGTGCATTTTGAAATACACTGTAAAAATTCAACTATAAGTTAGCTTTCATATAAATTGATAATTTTAGTATAGACAAATAATATTTATATATGTATTTTTTTTCTCTAAGCCACCATCACAAAACAATGCACCAAAACCTCAAGCACAACAGAAACCTCAGCAGACACAAGCTCCAACATCCGGTGAGAAAATACTTATATTACATATTATATAAAATAATAAATATTCAATAGGTAGACCCTGGCTAAAGCTGTGAAATTGCCAGCTAGAAGAAGAAAATAAACAATATTCAATATAATTTAACTATAAATATTTTAAATAAAAACTTCATTTACTTTTATGTAGCTTTACAATTTCAGTTAAATTTTTGCCCTATATAAGTATAGAGTTAAATTTATATATGATTTAAATAAGTATAAGAATTATATACTAAATATATATTAAACTATATAATAGTTACATAAAGTTGAAAATTAATTATACGTAGGTTCAGAGCCTCGCATCAAGCGATATAGTAGCTTGCGGCAGCGACCTCTAGCGGAGTCGTATTCGCCGCAGCAACAACAGCCTCAACAACAGCAACAGCAACAACAGCCGCAACAACAACAGCAACAGAGATATCATCCAGGTTTGTTGAAATTGATTCATTTTTTCAACTATACATGCAAGATTACCCTATCTTGATAATACAATTATATTAATTACTAGAAGACCTGGCGAACTTCGTATCGCCCTATAATCAAGAAATATCTATTACGTTTTATTATTTATGTTTTTGGAGTTTACCTGTAAGCCATTAATCTCCGTGTTTTGAAGTGCGTCAGAATGATTGACATATTAGTTAGTTGTCAAATCTAATGTCAAAAAAACATTTGTATGGGAAATAGAAAAGGGCTGTTTTTATGGTTTTCCCAGTAATGAATCGATTTTTTTCAGCTTTTATACCTTCCGTGAACCTCCACGAACATTTCAAGACTAAGATAAGATAAATCCGTTCAGCTGTTCTCGAGTTTTAGCGAGACTAAGGAACAGCATTCCATTTTCATATATATAGAAGATGGAATATGTGCCTAGTATAAATACTATGTCATTTGATTTTATTATCCAGTACTGCAGAATAAACTTAGTCAGTGGTGACCTTGTGGTTAAAAGGCCCGCCTCTCATGCATGAGGGCGCGAGTTCGGTCCTGATAACTACCAATGTGATTTTTCCGAGTCATATGTACTTTCTAAGAGTATTTATACATCACTGATTAATGCATTCCCAAAAGTGAGTTGATGTCAGGCAGGCGGCCGGTCGTAAATACAATTAGCCAAAACTAATCACAACATGTAAGGCAGACCCTGGCTAAAGCTGGGAAATTGCCAGGTAGGAGAAGAAAAAGGTACGTTAAGATAATAATTTGTTTATAAGTTGATAATATTTCAGATTTTGTAGCCGGACAGCAGCCACCTCATCAAGCGAATGCCGGCCAACAGATGCATCCACAACAAATAATACACCCTGTATGTACAAATATATTGATGTATACAAAAATAAATGAAACCAACATTTTTCTAATGTATTCCGCGATTTTATTATTTTTAAAAAACTTTGCTAAAAACAGTTGCTGTAAAGTAGTTTTTTATCAAAAATAAAATCGCATAGTACATCCGAAATATATTGGTTTCATTTAAATGAATACTCACGAAAATACTGTTTATAATTTCACAGCAAGTGCATAGAAACCAGGGTAATCAGCATGGGCCGTCACCGCCTCACCAACAGCCACAACACCCTGCCGGCCAACACCCTCCGGCTCAACACCCTGCCGGGCAACACCCTCCAGCTCAGCACCCTCCGACTCAACACCCTGCCGGACAACACCCTCCCACCCAACATCCACCGGGTCAACAACACACGCAACAGGTAGCAATATATATCACACATCTTATTAGTATAGATTTTGATTTAAAACTTCAAAATAAACTTGCTAAGTGCGAGTCGGATTAATTTTATCTGTGGTTACTATAACTTATTTTTATATAATTTATGATATATAATATTATAAAATTATAACAGCTTAAGAGATTGTTTGTTTGTTTGAAAGCGCTCATCTCCGAAACTACTGGTTCGAATTGAATAATTCTTTTTGTGTTGGATAGTCCAGTTGTCGAGGAAGGCTGTAGGCTATATAACATAACGCTACGACCAATAGGAGCAAAGATATAGTGGTAAATGTGTAAAAAACCGGACTAATTATTTCATCTTTGAAGCCTTCCGTTGCGTGCGCCGTGAAAACGGTTCATGATACACAAAAAATATGAATAAAAGAATAATAGCTCTTTTAATGATCTAAAAAACAGTCCGCGACAGTATATGTCTATCTTTTAAGATTAACTCACAAAAACCGTTTTTATGGTACCTAATTTGGTCGAAATAATTTGTTTAAGTTGTATCAACATAATAATATTAATCTTTATTCAAATAAACAAAGAAATATGTTGTTGGTTAAGTGTACTTTATTGTGAATAAAAAAAACAAAGGTTTTATCCTGAAAATTCTACGGGAACCCGAAAATTCCGAAAACCCCGAAAGAACGGGAACTATGTGGGAAGAACCAAAAATCTGCCGAAAGTCACTATTCCACGCGTACGAAGTCGCGGCAAAAGCTAGTTTAGGATATATTTAACTATCTATCATATGAAAATTTTGTTTCTTTGGTAAACTTAAATTTTAAATATGTACTAGTTACGGATCTCCAAAAACAGTTTGAATATAAAAATTTGAACTACTAGTCTGTCCGTCATCACGGTTGCTGTAAAGTAAGTTGCTGAAACGCCGAGAGTATGTAGTTTTTACAATAATAAAATACCCGTAGTATGTATAATACGAAAAATATTAGTTTTATTTTTGAACTACTTTTCATATTAATAAGTGTATTTTAATATATTTCAGCGTCGCGGCATGCACGAGCCTCACGTCCATCACAGCATGCACAACATGCCACAGCAACATAATATTGGTGAGAGAATATTATTAACATATATGTATATGTATGGTATATTTTTATTATCACCAAAAATGTATGGATTATAGATTTCCATGAAAGTATATTTCATTAGTAGTACCTACATATCAACAAACAAATTTTTGTCCATACATACTTAGAAAAAAAAAGGTTTGTCGATGTATTGTGTGAAAAGACAGTGCGAATGTTAGTAATTTTCAGAAGAAAGAATGTAAATTTTCATTACTGAATTATTCAGGCATTTTTATTGAATGGAATTTTAAAATAAATTAATCTGTTTTGTGTTTAGATGATTTGGGTGTACAAATGAATTAGTTAATATTGTTTTAAAAAATATATAATAATCCAGGTCAATTGCAACCGGCTCAAGGCTACGCTCCACCCGCTATGATGCCAGCCCAATACATGCAGGTATAATTTAGAAACTTAAATATATACGAAATTATTACAGTAATGTGAGGTAATCTAGTGAAATATTTTTTTTATGTATAGAAAAATCAAAGAGATTCTAATGTATAAATATATTTATGGTGGATATAAGAATAATTACTACGAAACGTTTTATAACTATTTTGTGTCCCGGCGTAGGTCTGAGCAAGCTCTATCAAATCATAATCATAATTACAATTAAATCAGACTTTACCAAATTGGGTAATAAAAAGAAATGGGGGTGTTATATAACAAGAGGTCGGGGGGGGGGGGGGTCTCATTTACAATTTCACGTAACTAAAATAATTTATTATCAAAGTGGACGATAAACAAAATAAGTTTGGGAACCGCTGGCTTAAATGATTAATGACTTAAACTTTGGCGAATTCACATTTCAATAAAACAATGTCTTTGTTTTCTTCATATCTTACAATATATAGTTTAACTAATTAAGTATATTACTTATACGAGTATACAATTTCCAATGCAGCTAATACTAAGTATATTACTGTATTATTTCTTCGTCTAGGGCGGTTCATCGGGCGGTGTGTTCGGAGCGCCGATGTACCCCGCGCCAGCCTATCAACATCAAATGTACCCGCATCATAACTTTGTAAGTCAATCTTTATACAGGGTGACTGGTGAATTACTATCGATATTTGAGGACGTGATATTTGACGATCATATATGACAAAATAAAAATTAATATAGCATAAATATTAATAAACTTCTAAGTAAAGTTAACCAAAAGTGGTGTAATTAATTACGAATCGTGTGAACACCCTACAGATTAGGTATACATACACACTCACACACACGCGACGGGGGCGTGGTTTTGTATCAGCACGCCGCCGCACGCGTCCACACTTGGAACACTTGGAACGTGTACACACTTTATTTATTTATACGGAAATTTGGTCAAAAATTAAGTACCTATTTTTTTTACATAATTCGAATGAGAATCATGTACCGAGTATGCTCCTTAAATATTGATAGTAATTCACCAGTCACCCTGTATATAAAAGAAAGTCGAGTTAGTTACTATTTATAACTCAAGAATGGTTGTACGGGTTTGAATGAAAATTGGTGGAAATAGGTTAGAACAAGAAAAGGAAATAGGATACTTTTCATCCGGTTTTAAAAAAAATTAAATTGATCAAATTCAAAATCTTATATACTGTCTTTAAGGAGCTTCAGCTATATATTTCTACTTATGAAATTAACATACGAAATCGTGGGCAAGAACTAGTTTAACATAACAAGACGTGTTTAATATGCCTAAAAAATACCATCCCTTTAATTCGTGTACCGAGTGATAACCAATCTTTTTTTGTAAATAGACAAACGTACATTCACACTACTCACTAGTATATCTTACATCGTTACAATATAGAAAACACTCCAATAATCGTTAATCTCTAATCAATGTTATATATTTCCAGACGGGCGGAGTAACGTACTACAGTTGCGCTGAACAGGAACAAGCGCCGCGAGCGGTTCGCCGACCGACAGCCGCTATACCTATAGTACGACCAGACCGACCTAGTAACGACAGGTAGAATAGATCTTTATATGTATCCCTTTCATCGTCATCAGTCTATCAGACGCCCACTGCTGAGCAAAGGCCTCTTCTCACATGGAGAAGGTTTGAGCATTAAACACCACGCTTGCTCAAGACGGGTTGGTGATTTCAAACTTATAATTGTGAAATTATAAGTCCAAGTTTCCTCATGATGTTTTCCTTCACCATATGTCAGAGATGTCTAAATGATACTCTTTATTGCACTGTAAATTTACAGGGTTATTTGACATATAAAATTATTGTTCACAACAGCGGGCTTATTTCTAAAAGATATTTCTTCCAGTCAACCCACAGCTGTAAGAGATAGTGTTATACAGCAGGTATAAATAGTGCAATATTAGATGCTCTTAATAATAAAATTAAAAAAAAACAAATTTAATATAATACATAATATAACACATATATATGGTGGTTTGAGATATTTAGTCCCATTAAGACACTATGATCACTTACATGAGAATTACACTTGTAACAAAACATTTGTGTACGGTTCGACATCGCACTTGTAATAAATTATATAACAATGAGTATGTAGTTGTTTCAAATATAAAACTTAACTAAGATATTTTTCAATATTACGTATATAAACAGTATATATGATAGAAAACTCGATAAACTCCCCTAAAAAGGAGCTAGTGGTCTTATTATACATGATAATCAGATTACTAGAACAATACAATACATCTGTAATATTTCTAGTTTACTAGTAAACATTTAGCTAACAGTCCACCCGCTCTAGAACATTCTATAATAATAATTGATAAGAGGCCGGCGTGAAAATATAATATAATAGGTTGGGGAAAAGTTTCTTCGCATTTTTTATAAAATTCAAAACAATTTTTAATATAGTTTATCTAAATTTAACTAAAGTATGTATGTACCGTTTTGTTCGATAACGTTTTGCCATCTTGTAGGTAGGGACATGATCCATTGCTATAAAAATTTTGGGACTTCTCATCAAAATACCGCGACAAGTGGATTTGGCAGTCCTCTCGTGATTTTAACCTAATATTGCCTAAAGAATTCCGAAGTGACCGAAACAGGTGGAAATCTGAAGGTGCAAGGTCAGGACTATACGGTGGATGCATTAACACCTCCCAGCCAAACTCTCTTAATTTTTGCTGAGTGGCTATAGATGTGTGAGGTCTAGCGTTATCATGATGAAACACCACACCCCTTCTGTTGATCAATTCCGGCCGCTTTCTCTCAACTTCTTGCTTTAATCTCATCAGCTGTTCGCAGTAGAGTTCAGAATCGATAGTGGTGGTAATAGCTGGCCTGGTGGTAATAGCTCATCATTATGAGCTATTACCACCAGGCATTACTCATTAGTAATGCCCTTCCAATCCCACCACACACACAACATCACCTTATTGCGAGTTAACCCGGGTTTCGCCACAGTCTGTGAAGTCTGACCGGCCTTTGACCACGACCTTTTTCGCACGTTCTTGTCGTAAGTGATCCACTTTTCATCACCATGGGTTTCATTACGTCGTAATAAAGAATCACAAATGAGTACACGGTTCATTAGGTTTCTTTCAGTGAGCTCGTGAGGTACCCAAATATCGACCTTTTTTTTGTACCCAGCTTTTTTCAAATGCGCCAAAACTGTTTTTTGATCAATTCCCAGTTCTTCAGCTAAGTCGTAACTACTGATATGTCGATCTTGCTCCACTTTTTCAAAAATTACATCCATTTTATCAGTAATTTTTTTTTTAAATTTCCGGATTGAAAACGCCTTAACCAAATTTGCGCTACTCTCACAGACACTGCACTAGGTCCATAAACATCGCAAATTTTTTTCGCGGCTTGCGTTAGATTTTTACCTTTTGTAGTAAAATTTTAAAATGTATCAAATTTCTTCATTAGATTCACTCATCTTGACAGTACGAAAAACAAATGTAAATCACACATTTGCTTAATTTGTTTTTAGAATTATGTTCTTTCAAATTTTAACTATCAAATATACTAAAACCAGCCAGATACAAATACTACAGCCAAAGAGATTTTATTACACGTTCATACATACTATAGTGCGAAAAGACTTTATCCAACCTATTATACCACTGTTTATAGACATTAAAGTCGTTGGCGTTGAAAGTGTGCTTCTGGTTTTGAAGTAAACATTTGGAGCTTAAAGTGTATATGTGTTCTTCAAAGCCTTATTGGTACTCAAAAGTAATATTTAGTTTTGGAAAAAATATATTTATGACACTTCAATATTTTTTCCCAATATTGCTTGCTATTTTATGCATACATGTTATCATTTGTGAGGAGAAATTAGTAAAGTTAAAGGGATAATTTAGTTAAAGAACATCATGATTGTATACAAAAATACATATACAACTTATTTAGCTGTGGTGACTTTAATTAATATTATAATTAATTTCCCAGGCCAGCAAATTCAACAGAAAAGGATAATATTGACAGGATTGTGGAAAACATGTTTGTAAGGAAGCCGTGGCCGGCTCAGGGTGAGTTTATCAATTGATACAACATAACTATAAAAGGACTTATTATATGTGAAACTGTTATTGATGTCAGTAATTATGATTCCTTAAAAACTTGCATCAAAATCGGCTTAGTAGATTATATCTATGATAGCCATTCAATAATAGAAAGTGCTATACAATTTTATTTATTTTACAAAACTAATTTCCAACTAGAAAGATGAAATATATAAAACTTATCTTAAATTAACATAACATTGCTTAAATAATAATTAACTTATATAATCCATTCATAATAGAAAATCCCCTGTTATTTATAAAAATATATTTTCTAGTCTCCTTCATACTATTAATATGAATGGTAATTCAAATGTAATTACTAAAAAATACCTAAAATATATTTCTTAAATGTTAAAAATACAAATATGTATAAAAAATTTATACTAAATAAAATTATATGTAAAAACTAGTTAATTATTATCATAACTCCTGAACTTAGTAAATAATAGTATATAATATATTATGATACATATGAATTACTCACAAGATATCCGATGGGCGGCGCTGAGAGCGTGGTTCAATTCACGTTTTGATGAATAGAAATGTTTGAGAATATACTTTGAGGAAAGTTAGACGAGTTTTAACTAAAGGAGGTTGCATTTTAAGTTTACTTCATTATGTTGGTATTATATTTTGATTTTTAAAATTTTTGTATTATTATTTGATATTTCTTTTTAAACAAATAATACATTAGTATTCAGATAGTAGAAGTATGTAGTTGATAAATATAATTTATCTCTTATTCTTGATAGTTGTAAAAATTACGGATTTTTATACTAATTAGGATATAGTATAATAAAAGACTGATGTATTCTTAACTTATTAGATTATTATTAGATATAATCGTTATATAGAGTAATTTAGAATATTATGATTAAAATAATCAAGAAATGTATGATTTTCAAACTTATTTTCAGAGGGCAAGGAAAAACAGGAAAGAAATTCTCAAGAGCCACAAAGCAAAGAAACGTCACAACCAAACAGTTTAACATCCAGTTCGATATCAACGGATTCGAAAACAGAGAAAAACGAGGAGAAACAGGAGAAAACAGAGACTCAGGAGAGTGTCGAACGGACGGAGAGTGGGAATACAGAGACTTCGGACGCTTGACTGCGGCTGTACGGACGTTCTATTCGAGTAAAATAACATTGCTATAACAAATAATAATATTTTTTGTTAGTAGCGATGTCCATCATAATTATTATAACAAAATCTATCGTTTAAAAACTAAGTCTTGATCAACTATTTATTAAATTTAAGTTATATATATCTAATATTCTTAAATATCGCTACTAATAAAAAAATCTGGCGACGTTCATACATTTATACGCAATAATAGAATTATATTTTTGTATGAACATTATTGATATGTTGTTTGATCGTCGCCAAGCAATTTTTCGTACGGCTGTGCCCTATCCGGGGTTGTATAGGTAATTAAGTGTCGAACTATCGAAATTATACTATAAATACATTACTCAATATATTTTTTTCCTTTAATATTTATTTTCTCTCTATAATGTCTGTTAATCCACTGGTTTTCCTGTTCGTATTTCATCGAGTCATATTTTAAGACTTGTATACTTAAACATTTTGTAAGACTTATCGTAATAAAATTATTTACATATTAAGTGGGTTATTTTTTAATTAAGAATCTATGATAGGTTTTTCTTTAAATTCATTGAGAATAAATTGTTAATTTCCACATTATGTTTTGAAAGGACGTTTATTTTTCGCTTCTTTGTGTTAAATAATGGTGTTGCCAAAATAAAATATATGAGTATGCTAAGAATAAGGGTATGTGTTGTATTTTTTGTGACTGGAAACACTGTTAGGTTTCCAAATAATTCCATCTTTAATTTTCTTTTGTTAACGACGGAGTTTGATAAGAATCTTCTAGAACACAATCATATATAAATCTATCGTCGACTAGTCTTTATATAAGAATCACGTCATTAAAAAGTCACTTATCAGCTGAAAATAAGATGTTTTTAAATATTTTATAATGAAAAAAAAAGTTAATTAAAATCGAAAAAAAAAATTGCTTTTGTAAATTAGGCCGGTTATTTATTTTAAGTAAATCCTTTGAATCTTATATTGTTTTATTCAATTCCTTAATAATAATCACTTAAATTTATATTTACACTAATATGATACTTATATATATATGTACAAATTATCTTTATTTTATTTATATCATTCAAACATTAAATGTACATTCAGTGTACAAATCTTATAGCGGTGACTAGATAATGAATTTATTGAATGAAATATATTATTAACAAATAACAAAGAAAAAAAGGATGATTAGAATACGAAGTTTTAAGCGAATGCGTTTCGATATACATGATACAAGATGAGACAATAAATTTTCAAAGTACATAAAATGATGAAGTACATTTTAAAATATAATATTTATAAAACAAAATCACACAAAAGCATTAAAATTACTTGTAAAACATTAAGACATTACGAATAATTTATTTACAAGCCTTATCGACACTAAAAATATGTGACATTTATTTTTTAATTTTACCAAATGAACAAATTCAAAGTTTATTTATTGACTGAAAGTACAATTATTTTGATTTTCATTCAACAATACTTTCTTCTTACAAGCAAATGTGAACTAATTTAAATATCACTACATTATTTGTCAATGGCATAATTTAATGTACATAGGATTATACATGATGAGTTTCAACTACAGTGTCGTTTACGACTTTTTTGTCATTACTTTTACTCCTGCCTTCTAAATCAGCATAAATATCTTCTAAGGACCTCATTTTAGTTTCTGGTACACAGAATATAAGATAGAAAACGTTAGATAGACATATAAAACTAAAACCCCAAAAGGTGTAGTGGTATCCGATCCAAGAATTTAATGGCGCGAACAGTTTTAAGAGCGCGAAATCAGTGCCTAAAGATATCGCCATTATTAGTGTTGCCACTGTGCCCCGCAACTGAAATAATAAAGGAAGTCATTATTTTAATTTTACAGATTTATTAATATAAATAAATAAATATAGTATTGTATATGAAAAATTTGAGTGAAACGAGCGGAACGCTATACTGGCGACTCAAGTCACTCATCCACGGAGATGACCTCGACAATCGAATGTCCGATTTTTCGAGTTTCTTTTTGTTCGATAGCCCATTTATCTAGAGTGGTTTTTATAAAAAGAATTGATTGAACCACCAATTTTACTTTTAAGACCCGAAAACGGAACGCATGTTCAATAGAACGGTCCGAAGCCGAAATCTGAGTTTAGTTCACTCCAAAAGCTTTTTTATTACTACAAATGTTTTTTTTTTCAAGCTAAAGGTGCATGTACTATATTATGTTGCAATTTGTAATCATTGCTTTATTTTACTGATATCTTTTTGACTTAAATAAATATAAGATTTTTCATTCGATTATTACTTTAATATTATGTTATAGGAAATCTAATAAGCTTTACTAACCTGAAAACTGAACATCTCAGTCATTATAACGAATGGTAATGGCTGTAATCCCAAAGCGTCCGCAAAGATACAAGTACACAAAGCGGCGATTGGTAACCAGCCGGCTAGTGATGTACCCACACTCTGAAGGTAGAACCACGCACCCAGCACACACATACTGAAGCCAGCGAGCGCGCTAGTTAACGCTAGAAGCGGCTGGAAGGTAATAAAATATATGATTAATGATAAGATTTTTTTTATACGGCGGGATAGCGAGAGCGCTTGATAGCGCTAGAAGCGGCTGGAAGTTTATAAGAATTCGATACATGCTAAGACTTCAAAGACAAAATAACGGTTGCCTAGATTTAAATTTTTTATATAGTATATCTCCTATATTTTAATTTATTAAATTTTTGTTGTTTTAGATCTACTAATAAAGTTCCTAATTGTGACTTTAGTCGAAGCTGTTAAATTATATTATTCATAAGTTAATCCCGTATCGTGTCTCCATTTTACATGACACTGGCAGAATATACTGTGCACGTTTATTCATAATGAACGCCATATTTAAAACTACCAGCCATAATTTGTATGATATTATTTACGTATAAAACTCATTAAAGGTAAAGTATGCTTAATAATATATGTTTTGAAGTTGATTAATTCATTAAAAATTATACATGTGTTATCTTACTTATTGGTTATATTGTATAGTTATTATAATATACCTTTCTTCCAGCCCTATCAACGAGCTGGCAAGCCAAAAACGACCCAAATATCTGAACAGCAGCGAGCACAATCGATTGTTTGTTGGGTGACAGCGAGATGCTTGAATTCTGATCTTTACTAGCTTCAGTGAAGATGTGGCTCGCGTAAACTAAGACGGCGATGCAGCCACAGAATTCTCTTGTAAGGTTCACTATGAGCGCTACCCAGAACGCTTTTAAGGCGGTCTTATCGGAAACTGTTGAGAAATTATATGTTATTTGATATTATAACCTTTTTTATTTGTAATAATTATACTATTTATTATTGGCGTAGAAAACCTGCTTCATCTTGAAAAACATGGAGGCAAACTTAGTTATTAGTAATGTAGGTTTTTGTAGCTTCATTGATTTTAAACAAGTGGCGAATTATTTATAAATTAGTAGTTTGGCATACAAAAATCGTAAACCTATTTAAATAAATACGTATCTAAGTTTTACTTTTGAATGAATTATATGGTTGATAAAGGCATATAAATTAATAAAAAGTCATAAAAATTACGTAACGATAAACCTTAAATGACCTTTGACCCTGTACATACGTAATTCAAGAGTTTTTTCTCCAATGAGACACTCAACCGCCGTGTTCCCGCCAATTGATCCTTCAGAGGCATTTGACACCAAACAAATAGGAACAACCCAATTAAATGGCAAACAAATTGAAAAAGATGGCCGGGCTCAAATATCAAGGACAGTAGCAATTGAAATAATAAATCTGTTTTGAAAACATTCTCTTATTTATATTCGCAAGTCTAGAACCGTTCTGCGTTTCGGTTTGATTTAAACTTGTTTATATAATTACGAAATTATTAATATTTATGAATAAAAATTTAAACGATATTTTCTGATTACTTTCATGCTAGATAAATATGGCATTTTTCAAACGAAAATACAAAAAAAAATCATGAAAAATTTTTGAGTCATCGACTCGTTGAAGTGTTTTTGATTTTTTTTATTATCTATGTCTTCTTTGCATAAAAACCTTTAAATTGTTAACTAAATGATTTATTTTAAGTAATAAATTGTATAATTATGTATAACGATATAATAAAATATTTATGGAATCGGAAATGCGTCCGAAGAACCTCAACCTTTATCATTATGTGGAAAAACCACAGACAACTATCGATTACAATACAGATTATGTAACGTTTCAAGATTGTATTATTACATTGCTAGTTTTTCTCACCTATTTCGTTGATGTATTTTTCGTTATCATATTTAGAGAGAAATGTATGCTGTACGAGTATTTAATATCGTCTTTGTCACTGAACTTTCTCTTAATATATAAATTGGTACAAATTAGTCAGCCAATATATAATTCTGATTTAAAATACATCAATTATTTAAATCCATTCAGTATAGTTTATATTTAAACAACAAACATCTTTATTTCTAAATGTGGTCATAGTATTTATTTATAATATTATTATTGTAATATATTGTAAATTATTTTGCATATGACAAATTGAGACTCGTTACATGTTTATCATTCTTGGTACAAGAAAATCTCGTTCGTGTGACTTTGTAATTGATATTAATGATTTAAATTTATTATGATGACGTCACAATATAAGTTTTTATTGATATATAGACAATTATATAATAAACTAAATCAAGTATAAAATTATGTTTATTCACTCTAACTGAACTGTTTATTGATCAATACTGACTTAATTGAAGATTTTAATGCAGTAAGTAATGTTTTGTTTTTATTTCTCGGTGTATTTGAGACAAGCTTTTGACCACGCCATGTTCGGGTGGACAACGAAATTATGTTTACAACGAATTTATAAAGATACTTAAAAAAAAACAGATAAAACGGCCGGTAGTGCAGATTTTGTAGTCTGCCATATGAGTACGTACTACATGTAACAGTTATGAACGATTACGTCTGTCAACTGATAGAAATTGAAAAGATACATAGCATAGAAGTTGTCCTTTTTCCAATGTTTAAAGTATATAACCAAAAAGTTTTATCAAAATCCGTTACATGATATTTGTGAAAGAACAACGAAGGAATTTAATATGGTAGTACCGAGACCTAACACGAGGCATACAAATACACCAACTTTTAAATGTCGGTTTGCAAGAACTAATTTGGGAATAAAGGCACCTTTAAAATATAGGGCTTTTAGAAGTTATAATAATATTTGTAAAAAAGTGGATATTGATATATATAACGATAGTCTAAGGTCCTATAAAACAAAAATAAAAAATAGCTTTAAAAATTTTATGTAATACATATACTTATTGTAAATAATATCTATGGAATAGTCCATATATCTTTTACAAAATAGTTCTACTTTATTTTATATTATTTGTTATTTGATATGTTGCTTAGTTATATATGTATATATACAGGGTGACTGGTGAATTACTATCGATACTTGAGGACGTGATATTTGACGATCATATATGACAAAATAAAAATTAATATAACATAAATATTAATAAACTTCTAAGTAAAGTTAACCAAAAGTTATATAATTAATTAGGCATCGTGTGCACACCCTACAGATTAGGTATACACACACTCTCACACATACGCGCGCGGCGGCGTAGTGTTGTATCAGCACGCCGCCGCACGCGTCCACACTTGGAACACTTGGAACGTGTCAACACTTTATTTATTTATACGGAAATTTTGTCAAAAATTAAGTACCTATTTTTTTTTACATAATTCGAATGAGAATCATGTACCGAGTATTCTCCTTAAATATTGATAGTAATTCACCAGTCACCCTGTATATGTATACATATATTTGTGAATGCATGCTGAGTTAGCCTTTAATTGTAGTGTACTTTGTAAGATCATTCTACATTATGTTGGCTTCCTAATAAAATAAATAAATAAACAGCGAATATCCAAAAGTCCATACACTTCTCGAAAATGTCACATCATTACATTCTTAGGATTTAATAGCTCAAGAAATTTCAAAACCGTAATTTTTCATTCCCGTTAAACTTTTATTTGATAATGACTAAGTATAAAAGTTACTTTTATCTCATAACAACTTTTAATATGAAAAGAAAACACAGAAAATTTATATGAATTTATCATTCAAACAATTGTTCTAAAACTTTGAGATGGACAAACAAACGTAACTTTTGTATTGTTTTTAATATTAACGAGAATATAATTAAATTATTTTGCCTTTGTTATAAAATTATGTGGGTTACAAACAATTTTTAGACTAAACAAATAGTTTAATTTGTGGAAACCCTACTAATATTATAATTGCGAAAGTAACTCTGTCTGTCTATTACGCTTTCACGCCCAAACCACTGAAATGATTTTAATAAAATTTGGTACAGAGATAGAGTTGACCTTGAGAAAGAACATAAGATAGTTTTTATCCCAAGCTTTTGAAAAGTTTTCTTTCAAACGCGATATAACCGAACTCCACGTGGGCGAAGCTGCGGGTGGAAAGCTAGTAAAATATAGGTACATGATGTATAGTAGCTTAGATAAAGTAGTGAAATCATCATCCTATACTTTAAGTTATTTTTTCGTAGGAACAATAAATAATTACTAGGTACTTTTTAAAGATAGTTATTATTATTATAATAGCTTTTGTATTTGTTGGTATTTACTAAAATTGCATACATACTTTTTTTATTTCTGTATTCGAACCAAAAATTTAATTAGACAAATAGATTGTATGAGTGTATTTGAATGTGTGAGTAGAATGTGCGTGTTGAATGTGTCAATGTGTGTGTATCTGTAGAGTCATTTGGTGGATACTTAAGTGCTTTAGTACTACATCCTATTACACATAGTGTTGTTGGATAATCTCTAAGAAAAGAAAACCTTATGCGTTTAAAGTTTGAAGGAACAAAAAAAAAGATTTATGTTATTCTAGAATGATCACTACATTTTTAATTACCACAAGACGGAACATAATACCGTCTGGTATAAGTTACATAAATCATTCCGAAGGACAAATCGTTCCCGATAAATAACAGAAAAGTTTTCACATTTAAAGTCTTAATTTACACAGAATATAAATGTCCGCTGTCAGATTTCTTTTTTAAACTATTTTTATTTTGATCGTAATAGCTTTAAAGGTTCTTAATGTTTTATGAAACTGAAATTGTAAAACTGAGTTGTATTAGAACGAATTTAATGTAGTATGATGTAACGGGAAAAATATCAAAAGGAGAATATGTCATTTATTTGATTTTATATAAAAAAATGTCGTCCAACCCTAAATAAAGTCGGAATGATTTGTTATACGATAAACATATCAAAACATCCATATTGAAATTTAGAATTTTCATTGACAGGTTTTTTTTGTTTCGTCAACACTTATTCTTTTCTTTTTAAATCAGTATATAGATTCTTATATCGCACTAAAGAAAGTTTTAAATTTAGCTGATTATAATTCTCACTTTCATTGATTATCTATTCCATTATATAATTATTACATATGGGGCCATCCATAAAGTATGTCAAACGAAATTTAGTACATTGAACCCCTCCCCCCGTCCTTGTCACATATTTCTAGCCCCCCATCTCTTGAAGTGACGTCAAACATTTTGAAAATTTATGTACGTATTTAAAAATAATCGAGACGGAACAGCTATTTTCATTAGTATTAGTATTTTAAATTTTAATATGTGAATTCACAAAACTATTGCCCCCCATGCTTCTTGTCAGACAATGTTACACTACAGTGTAAAACCTTTCTCTCAATTAACGTGTGACGTACTTCATGGAATGTCTCTATATAACATTTTAAGAAGAGAATTTCCTTTAAGGATAATTTCCTTTAAGGATAGAGAAAAATATTATAACTCAATTTAAGAAAGGTTTTTCCGTAAAAAGTAGGGACTAAGATGTTCTAAGTGTTGTTACTCACATAATAATCTGGGTGAAAACTTCGGTTCACATTTCGTCTGCTCTATATTGAGTCTATCAACCTCTTCAGTGATTGTTTTATCTGTAGGGGGAAGTGATCGCAGCCAGCCTAATACTTTTGCTGTCTCCTGTTGGAAAATATTATAATCAACATTCAATCATAGTGTATTTTTTATAGAAAGTACAATGTTTGTATAAATTCATCTGTAGGCAATGACATTTGTTAGTTGTTGGTACCTATCGAATATCCTAATTCTTCTTCTTCCTGGCAATTTTTCCCAGCTATAGCCAGGGTCTGCCTAACATGTTGTGAATGGTTTTGGCTATTTGTTTTTACGACCGGCCGCCTGCCTGACATCAACCCTCTTTTTGGGAATCAACATTAATCAGTGATGTCTAAATATTCTTAGAAAGTACATATGATTCGGAAAAATCACATTGGTACTTGCCCGGGCCAGGATCGAACTCGCGCCCTCGGCAACGAGAGGCGGGCCCTTTAACCACTGAGCCACCACTGACTTCGAATATCCTAATCTTACTATAAAAAAAAAAAAACATACATTTAATGCTATCAAATTAGACTGTCAGAGTTTAGGACATTTCATCTCTCATTGAATTAAATAATTTATACAGAATTTTAGTAAATATATGTTGAAACGAAATTTGTCTTGATTTTTGAATAACATTCATGCGTTTACAATCTAAATTTGAGTTTTTTATGAAGGAAACTACTTGTACGCTAGGACCTATATAATTAGATTTTTACAATATCATGTCTTGAAGTTTGTATTGTAAATGTTATTATATGGAAATCATTTTACTGACCTCATTCTTGCCACATTTGATGAGATAAGATGGTGTCTCTGGCAGTTTGAGCAGCACACAGAAATGTACTAACGGCACAGCGAGTAGTATCCAAAGAACCGTGTGAAATGGCAGCAAATCGCCAAGAACAAACATGAGTAAATTCCCAACAGTCTAAAAAACAATAAAAATGTTTATATGATCACATCTAATTGTAAGAATATCGGGATTATTGATTTGAATGGAACTAATGTTTTAGGATTGCTACGCGTATTTATTTATTTAAAAAACAACGTACTTCCGTCGTTACGGTTACTTTGCAGCAACCGTGATCACGGACAGACGAGAATCGAGATATATTTAATTTTAAAATGTTTTATTTACATTTATTGATATGTGAAGTTATAGGAAAGTGATAAAATGTTGTCCGAAAATATTCGTTTTATTAATTTTGGCGAATTCGTATTTGTAAATTAAACAAAATGAAAACTTGTATCAGTTTTAATATCTTTTATATAAAATCTTTGCATGTAAAAAGACTCGTGTTAGTTACACTATTTATAACTTAACTACTGCTACACGGGTTTGGCTGAAAATTTGTTGAGAGATAGCACAGAACCAAGAAACAGACATAAGATACTTTTCATTCAATTGAAAAAAAATTGATTAAATCCAAAATCTTCTTATCTTTAAAAAATAAAAGAGTTCATCCGGTCAGCTATAGATTTCTTATGAAACTATCCCAGACATAGTCGCGGGCAACAACTAGTTTTACATATTAAGACGTGTTTAATATGACTAAAAAACTTAATCCCTATAATTCCTGGACTGTGTGATAACCAATGTTTTGTAAATAGACAGACGTCCTTTTTTCGGTATTTTAATCTTCGTTAATGAACTTTTTGTGAATGTTACAAGTTATTCAAAGACACGTATCCATTTTATTGATTAATATATTTTGATATATTCTATTTAACGTATTGTTTTTGGTTTAATGTGATAGTAACTGTATTGTCGGCTGGTACGGTTAAGGCACGTACAAGGAAAATCTTTTGCTAATTCTGTCACACCCAGATGCTATAAAATAAGGGAATCCCGCCGTATAACAAAGAAGAATATCTTGCTAATAATTTTTGTAAGATAAAAAATATTTGAATACTTTTGTAACGCGCTTCAACTTGTTTAAGTAAAATGTAATTAGTATATGGATTATCGGACTTAAAATGCGCTTTTAGATAATGTTAAGTAAATTTAGAAAATAAATGTAAGTCCCTCATACGTTTTGTAGTATGATATTGTATTTTTCGTTTACTTGTATAATATTTATTTTTTTAATATTCACATTAAAACAGTGCTGGATTAGGTAAAGAAAGAAAAAAACGTCAAGATTATTTCTAAATTCTCTTCTACTGGAATTTTTTTTGAATTGAAGTAGGTACGTTGTATGAAAACAATATTATGTTTTATAAACATACTCCGCATTGTGGAGGAAGTCCTTTTAATTCACTTCTTTGAAACTTTATTTCTTATTAACCATACGTCTATATGTATGTTCTTTAAACGGTTATATGATTATGTTACCTGTGAGAATATAACGAAGGTTCCTGTCATTCCTCTGATGCTGTCTTCGCTTATTTCTTTAACATACAGCGGACAAACAACAAAACCGCCGCCAGAACCGAAGCCGATTAGAGCGCGTGCGGCTATCAGGGCTACGGGACGTGCCGATATTAACTTGATGGCCCAGCCGATCTGTAAATAGCTTAGCCGTTAATTAGCTTCTTAGCCGATTCGTTAAAACTTTGATTATTAAAAATTAGACAAATCATTATGACCCGTTGAATATGTATATCGTATTTTTTTATGTAAATATGTTTTTGATTACCGATATTGGAATTGATGCGCAGATAAGTGCTCTTTTCCTTCCAAACCTATCAGCAGCTGTTCCATAAATGAAGACGGCTATGGGGGCGAATATAAACATGATGGAAGCCATCCAGGATATGTCATCTTCCGTCAATGGTGGGTTTGATGGAGAATCTTTACCCATGAGGAGTTTCTTATTCGGTGATATCCAGCCCATAGCTGTGCCATAAGTAAGTATTGGCAAACACACTGACGACAAAAATCAAACATTAGTAATTAAGAATATTTTGAATAAATATAGTGTATATTTTAAAACTTAAGAAAAAATCTATATCCTACTTACAAATAGGTAACATTAATTGATACTTTTGATTGAAATTTTTAAATAAATTTTTGTGAGTATATAAACTAACCGCTGAGTAAGCAATTATGAAATGCTATTAAAAAATAAAATGTTATTCTTGTTCTTACAATTTTATCAATATAGTATATGTACTTGTATTAGATAAACAGTTGTTTATTTTACTTACACTTTGTTTAATTTATAAATTGAAATATTTTATGAAATTCAAAAGAAATTTAAACAATAAAAAAATAGAAATATTAAAAATAGCTCTGGATATTTCTTTTGCTGCTTTAATGAATCTGTTAATTATGTACAGAAAACGATGTATTTTATGTAGAAGCGAATCTTGAATAAACATTTAAAGAGAATTTTCATTTTTTTTAAGGAAAATCTAATTCATAAGCGTGTAATTATTATTATTATTGTCTTATGATATAAATAATTAATATTATTCAGTCTATATTCAGCGATGTTCTTAAAAATAGACAGCTTGCCAAAAGATCGCATATGATGTACGAATAATAAATATTATTTTGGATATGCCAATGAATAAATTTGTAAATTTATAAAATATTTTCAAATAATAATTATTTAAATACAAATTATTATAGTAGTTTTTATTTATAACATTTGATACTTGTGTTAACAAATTGATGCCGCATCTATTATTTTTCTTATTGTCTATAAATAACAATGAATTGGGTTTTTTCGAGTGCATTGATAGGAGGAAAATTAGATCAATTTAAATGAAACTAATATGTTTGCATGTACCATTACGTTTTTTTTTTGAAGAATAACGAGACCAATTGACAGACAATCTCATCTCGACTATGGACTATAGTACATTTTCTTAAATATGCATTCATTTTTTTAATATGAAATATTAAATTCTGCATTTAATATTTTGTTTTAAATTGTAATAAAAAAAGAAATTCTCATGGCGCCAAAATTAAAATACATGATCATCAGAATTGTCGTCTTTATCACATATTTAAAATTTAAATTTAATTACATATAATGTCACTGTCTATAAATAAACTAATATATAAATAATAATTGTGTTCAAATTATTATTTTAGAATGAAAATAAATCGGTAAAATCGATTAATTATCTCGAATGGTTTTTCACTTTTAATTTAAAGAAATATAAAATATATTCTTAGCAAATAAACTCAAAATCAAAATGCTTGTATACTTATATTATATATAATAAGTATTTACCAAAAATAGACATCAGGACTTGATTATGTTTACTTCCATGTTTAACGGTTTTTTCGGACGTAATCTTGTAAACTTTATTCACCATTTTGTCACAATAAAAAAACTATATTCTTTTTAATTATTAATAAAAAATATGTAATAGATTCACGTTTTATTGTAAAATCATTTCAATTCATTTGTCGACTTGCTAGCAAGTTCCTGGACGCACTGACACAATATCTTAAGTTTTCCTATTTATAATGGCGTCGTTGTCATACGCTACCAATTTTGTTTCACTCATTATTGATGCGTTATATATTCTTATTAGATTTATTTATTTTATTATATAAATATTATTATTAGCAACAAATTGAAATAATTTTAAAAGTCTCAGATCTAAAGTCAAAAGTTTTATGAAAATACTATATGAAAAGTAATAATAAATACGTTACATTTTTTATATAACATAAAATTAATGTTATGTAAAATTAAGCTTATTTCGATGTATTTGTATTAAACTTGAAATAGAATAGATACATATTGCTATAATTAAGTGGGAAGACTAATAATAATATGATTAAAGTTAGCCTGTATACTTTTTGCATTAAACAAGATCTCTTTATTATTTTTAATAGTATAAGAAAAATATGAAATTTGCGATCAATATGTATCATAAAATTTATTATTTTATTTACTAGGTGAAAGTTTATGTAACTTTAAATACATCTTTTAGAACTCAGGTAATCTTATAAATATTTTTTTTAACGGTATTATTTAATCTACTTCACACTACTCTGATAAAGTATATAATGAATATAAGGAATCAATAAAGTACATGCATTGACTCAAGTTACAAAACAATATAAATTATCACAACACTGAACATCAGTACTTGTGGAATATTAAAACTGTTTAATTTATAACTATTCATTTAAGTATTTATAATGCGTCTCTACAAAACGAGTGATTTCCTTAATTAATACATAAAGAAAGACAAAGCTATGACATAAAAAAATAAGCATATATTTTGCATATAAGTCTTTTGTTTCAAAAGTAAACATCTACAACTGGAATCCCCTCAGAAGAACAGTCAGTTCTCTTATCGGGAATAGCAATGTAAGCGATAATGTGTTAACTTTAAATATAATACGAATTTATACATGTTGAAGTGATATGTAGTAATAAGACTTAGATCTAGTTCTTATAAAATTATATGTTTTAAAATTTAGATGTGTACTACGCCTATTTCATTGTTTTTTAAAACTACATAATCCCGACGTTTCGGTTACTTTGCAGCAACCGTGATCACGGGGAAACGAGATGTGTTAACAATATTATGGGTATAAGTAAATCAATTGTTACATTTTATTTGCTGTGTTTATGGCTTCGTAATAAATATTACTTATATATCTATTGTTAATATTTTTTTCGCTCATTTCATTCTTAATACATATTGTATGATGATTTATATTATTTTGATAGTGAAAGTGTAATTAGGATTAAGTGTAATTTGAATCAATTGATTTATTTGCCCGATTTGTTTGACAATTCTCAAGACGGTTAATACAAATAAGGACCTCTTAAACTATTAAGAGGGTTATGGATCCTTATGTGGATACAAGTAATCTGAGTTTATAACTTACGATAGATCAAAATTATTCCACTTCGTTTTAATTTTTACCAAAAACAAAATTATATTCAAAAAATTTCAACAGTGGCAAGCTCTTACAAAAATACTTTTTAAAACAATGTATGAGGTATTTCGGAGTTATAACATTCTTTTATCTGGCTTGAACTTTTAAACGAAATGAAATATATTAAAACTCTGTATTTTTTAACGATAATATTATTTGAAGTTCATTTCATCACGCGAACGTATAGGTCATTATTTCTTTGAAACTCAACTAAATCAAAATGTATCTGTAAATTACTTATTTTATCCACAAGTACTGAAAACCCGTAATAGTATGTTATGTTCTATATATACATATATGTGTATAAATGTCATCTGTCAACATATTGGCTGTATATTAAACTCAAAACTAAAACGATCTTTCAGAAAGTGAACACCTTGTGAACATTTGATTCACAATGGATTAAATGGGTTAATGATTATGAAATTTACACATAAAAATGTTCTGTTCAGTTCGTCAATTGTGTCTCATCTTGATCCGGAAGCTGGAGCAGGTCGAGATCGGTTCAAGGTACTGTGATGATTGTTTTGTATCGTTACGTAATGACACAATATAAACAAATCAATTCTGTTACATCACTTACAATGTATATGAAATGAAATATATATACATTTATTTGTATTTTTTAATAAGATTATTTGTATTGAGATCATCAAGAGTATTTTTAATGTAATAATAAATGAGAAATGATAATATCTTAGCAACAAAAGAACTTTCTTTTCAGGATTTTTATGATATTTGTCGTAATACAGTCTGTGTAATACTTTTTGTATTGAAAGTTATATATATTTATAATGTATTTACTCTAAGAATGTTAATTAACGTAATTATTTGATGTATTAAAATTTATTTCCACTACATGTTATACAAAAATCGTTTCTACTATCTTAAAATATTGTTAATATTGCTATTTATTTTAAATTCTTTTAATTTGATTTCTAAGAAAAACTTTATACAAAAATTTTATTTCTACTAATCGATTTAATCAGGATCAAATGATTCAATATTTTTTTCATTCTGACATCTCAATATCATTGTTGGTGATCGTTTAAAACACAGAATTTAACATAATACCCAAGTGTTTTGGCAATTATTGTTAACCAATTATCTTTCTTACGTAAACTGTGATATGGGTTACTTTTGAATAATCTCCTTCAGGTAAAGCAAATTAGGTGAAATGGTCTCTTTTAATTCTTATAAAAATAGTATTCAACAACAAATAAACCAATATATTTTTAATTATCAAAAGATAGCTGATAAAATTATACAATTCTATTCATTTAATTGCTAGAACTTCTAGCGGTGAACATATTTTCTATATAAATCTAGCGCTGGTACGAAAACTCTTCATTGTATAACAGTTTATATTCTTGCTAGTATAATTTTCACACATTTATGTAACAAATTGTTTTTTCTTAAACAATAGATATGTAATAGTTACCAATTGATAGAAGTAGCACACGTATAAAAGAAATAAGTCATGACATTTATATATAATTAGTATTAGTAGTTACGATTAACATTAAAAATTAACAAGTTCTTCTTAGCAACTTCGAATATTTTGTTTAAATTCGATAAAGTTTGATTTTTATTTTTACTTTCATTTACAAATATTTATAATAATATGAAATTATAAAACCTTTTGAATATTTTGGATTTTCCATTGACTTAAGAATATTTACTAGTCAATTTAGAAATAAGATTACAGATACACATATATACATTTATGAGTAGAAATCGTACGGAGGCACAGAGAATTGAATGTGCCCAAGTTTTACCGAAAACTGAATGCATTTCCTTTACTATTCCTGTAGTATATATTGTTTTTATCATAAAAAGGAAACACTACTTAAATGAAAACCTGTGAGTTATATGTATGTATGTAAATCCATTGTTTGGTATTGAATTCAAATATATACAACTAGCTGTGACCCGATCCTCAAATATACAATTAGCTATGCACGCGACGACGCGACACGCGACGCGAGACTTCGTCTAGATAAAAAACAATGTAAGAGACAGTTACTAGCGAATTTATAATACTTATAGGAATATTTGGAGGCTATAAGAACTACAGCTTTTAGCTTTTAAATTAAAACATTTTATCTCTTAGTACACACCATCAAATTCACTCATAGAGAATGTCTCGATTTCTATCTTATTAGGTAAATTTAAAAGATGTATTTTAAAAAAAGGTAATTTTTCATAGTTGTCGCACCCGTAACACCCCTTGTGGGTGGAATGTCGTAACATGTGTCCTTAGCTGACCTTTACTCGGTTAAAGGAACATTCCTGGAAAATTGTTAGTCTATATGCCTTAGGGTTCCAGACATTTATTTACATATATGGGTGGAAATATATTATATATATGTACATAATATATATGTATATAACTGTAAAGTATACGGTATATATAACAAGTTAGAATTGTCAAGCTGTAAATATAGCACATATGTTTAAAATGTATTTTTAACATAAGTAACTGTAATTTGAGATATTTATCTAAATATGTAATAAGTACTATATATAAGTTTATCTATATCTAACCTTAATCAGTCCCAGAATGTACCTCTTCTTAAGTTGAGGTGAATTCCCGCTTCCGACTAAATCGATTTCGTCTTTCCGGCAGATAACCTTTGACATAATTGGTAATGGGAATAAAAATATTTGTAGTAAAATTTTATAATTTATTTTATTTAAATGATTATACCAAAGTTTTTTTCTATATCCTACCTGATGGAAGGTAGTCATAATCGCCCATGGATATTTGCAACATAATGGTTGTTGCACAATGCACATATCTTGTCGACCTTGATTAAGGGAAAGGGAAAGGAAAGGGTGGGAAAAAGGAGAGGACAGGAACCGGTGGGAAAAGGAAAAGCGCAACCGATTCTCTCACTCACTGAACGAAAAGCAGCTATTAAAGATTAAATCACGCCGATCTTCTGTACAAGCAGCTAGGTAACAGTTAGGTTCTGTCAAGTAACATATTCGTTATTATTTCCTTTGTCAAGAAATATAAATATTGACGTCATAAAAAACATAAACATTTCGTTAAGGTAATTGAGTTTCTTAAAATCGTGTTTTCCTTAAGGAAAATACTAAAGATTTCACATTATCATACCCTTATTATAATAAATATTGTACATGTGAAATTTTTCTAATAATTTTGGAGTTGTTACATTTGTAAGAAAAACTTTCTAGTAATATTTCTTTTTTTGCTACAATCTAATATAATAATAAAATTATATACTAATATAATATATACAAATGTTACTCAAATTTTCTAAGTCTATTATATTGAAGGAGTTATAGGACTATCCAACATGCATGTATGTATGTACATACACTTAAGAAATGTTTTTTTTAGTTTTCAAAGAAATTCTATATTAAATATATACCTAAATTCAAAACGACCTGATATAAAAAAACGTTAAGAAATTCCACTACTTCGAAATAAATTCACCATAGAACAATGAACCATAAAATATATAATGATATAATAAAAAAATATTTTTTGTTAACCTACTGTCATATAGATAAATATAATATGTTTCATTTATTTAAATATAAGGAATAAATAGTTTGTATTATTTCGGACTAAATAATAGGATTTAATATCGAAGGAAAACAATCGTCTCATAACCGTTTCTTGTTATTCAAGATATTTAATAATTAAGCCACCTTAATAAATATCGTAAAAACTGTTTTACATTCATTGCTGATATAATAGCAATGAATAAATTGTATATTTAGAAGAAAACGGTAATGTATGTTTTCCATTGTAACTCTTTCACTTTTTTCGTAAATTTGTATTTTTTCTGATTTTCATACAAATAAAACTGATACAAATAAATTTATATTATATTAAGTGAATATTGTTTATTCACTGAATTCAAAATTCTTTTAATGGATTTTAGTTCCTAAGGATTTTCATTGTAAAAAATTCAAAGGGTATTCACATGGTGATCTATTTTGTTTGTCCATTCGTTGTAACACTACAAATTTACATTCACTTTAGCTTACTGGAATAAAGAGATTTCTGTATGGAGATTTCATTTCCTTAAATTCAAGCTGATTGTTATACAGGATAGTATGAATATTTTTAGATTAGTAAACCCATTGTCATCAATTGAATGTCGTAAGTTTGATTTTTAGAACATTAGTCTATCTTGTCTTAAAAAAACTATTAAAAAATTTACATTTCATTTGGCATATGCAGCAATGAAGGTGTTATATTTATTTCAAATGTTACAAAGATTACCAGACATTTAACTGTAATCTCATGTTCAAATTATTTTAATTTACTTTTCGATTGCTCTACAGGGCTTTTATTCACTAAAAAAACAAGAGGTGAGAGTTAACATAGTTATTCTGTTTGTAGTGTTCAAAAATTTGATGTATTTTATTATTTCAATAAATTTTTCACATATTTATTTGTTACATGTAATTGTTCGTCTTAATTAATATCTATATTTATCTAACAGCCTTTTAATTTTAATGGAATTTTAATATTCTACTCATTTCAATATTTTCTCTAAGCCCTGATTACATTTCATCATCATGTGAATTATGTAAAGAACAATTTTAATTAGAACACGTAAAAGTTATTTAATTATGTGTTCGAATATAAATTATATGATCGTATTTTTATATTATAATCTGCCTAAGGAAGAGTTCCTTTCCTTTCCTTTCCATGTTTGCATAACTCTCCATTTGGTCAAACTTTTCGGTCAGGAATTTGTTTGATTTTAAATCTAAACAAGCCAAAGTAGAAGTGTTTTGCGTTACATAAATCCAATGCGGAAATTAATTTGAGTGTTTTGAGTCCGACGAATAAACGCTTAAACATTTGAGTTAATTGATCTTCCTAAAAGTTAAAGATTATTTGCTTTTGTAATTTTAATTTATATGTATTAAAGGAATTAATTGTTTTTTGTGTTATGTAAACATAATTTGGCCGGTTTTCGTTATTCATCAAATATACATTTTTGTTCATTATAATTTAACAATAGTGATACGGACTTCTAATTATTTATCAGTAGAGAGGGTGAAATAATTAGATAGCATAGTATAAGTTACTCCAATATAGTATCGAATAATATTTTATCAGGATAAAAAAAAAGGAATAGAAATATAGCCTTTACTTATCACAGTAAGAGTCTATTCATTATGTTCTAAAACACCTTCGAATTACATAGCAATTATAAATTAGCATTTTTGAACATATTTTTATGGATTTGCACGGCTTTTGGCATGTGAACAAACGTGATATCAGTATTTAACACACTATCGTATCTGTGCTTTATATAAAAAAATAATCTGTTCTGAAATAAAATATTATCGTCCGTTGGCAATGGCATTAATATTCCAAGCAGCTACTAGACTTTGACTCAATAAACAAAGTTAAGATTTTAGTGTACCTATCTATTTAATGACAAAAGGCTTTTGTGAACTCCAAGGATAAGTTCTAAAATGTTTGATCCGAGTTGAAGGGTACACAGCTTAGCAGTTAAATTTGTGGTTTTGGTAACTACACAATATTGATTGGATTGATACAGCATCTTTTCCTCTAGTAATACAGTAATAAAGAGTTGCCGTGGGTCTCTTTTGCCTACTCATTATGATCCTGGCTATCTCAAACATTGGTTATGGTAACACTTTACGGCTATGCTGTCACTTGTTTAACTAAAAAGTCAGAGTACTAACAAGTTGTTAAATTGTAATAAAAAAAAGATGCAAAGAGGACAGACTCTCTTTTTTTTTGTGTACACTGGGAAAAAATGCTTTACGCATCCCCTCTCCGTCGGGGGACGGAGAGGTGTACGTGGGACTCCCCGGGAAAGGATTCCCGGTATACCCACTAAAATAACCCAGTGGCGCTCCGACCTCGCCTGACTGGCAGGGGGCTGGGAATCCTGTTTGCATCCAGCCCCAGGACAGACTCTCTGATCAACCCTTTATTGACCGTCACTGGGTTAGATGAGGGGGTATTAAGAAGTACTCGAGGAGCAGGGTCCCTCAGGAAACAGAAATCCAGTCAATCGGACTAGTGAATATACAAAAAAAGTTAAAGCAATATTTCCAAACCCGGTCAAAAACTTTCGGCAAGTTAAGTGTAATAACGAGAGCAACACCATTGCTTTCTTAGTAACTGAAATAATATTGCCGAGTACGTATTTTTTACATAATATTGAGGTGGTTGACATAGGCCACGCATCTCAATGGTGCTCATTAGAGACGTAAACTTGCTGTCAATGAAAAAGTGAAAAGAACCTGACACAAACACAAGCTTGGAGTATTATACTCGACTCATATCATAGGGAAACTGTTCAGATTCATCTTCCACATGGCTTCATCAGGCAATGTATCTGTACCAGACGAATGACTTTGGCGGTATAATTTTATCTGAAGGGTACCACTCTTAAGTAAATATGCCTAAGGCCGAAATTATGATTCCACGGAGAGCACTTTACACAGCTAAATAAAAAGACATCTTAGAAATTATTACTATAAAGTTTTTTGAAAGCAAAAGTTTTCTCGTACAATTAGTTAACGTAGTTTTTTTCGTTATACAATTTTCGTACATATCCATAAACGAAGTGATATATAAGGTCAAATTAATATGTATAACATTTATAAAAAATTAATATCTGTATTTAACTTTTAGATTTTTAGTTCTCGAATTTTGGCTTGTTGAGCATTTGCCTTTTAAAGTTAAAAAAATGTTTTGAAATAACAAATCACTGTATTAAATTAGCATTTTTCAATTCATAACTTCTTCTGCTTGGTTCTTTTCTCAGAAGTTATATTAATACAAAGATTTCAAGAAATTATATGACGTAAAAGCTAATTTTTATAAGATACAGAATGTGTTATTGTACGTCTAAGTAACAGAGTCGTGATGCAATGTAATTAATTTATTTCCATTAATTTAATTCATGCAAGAATATATAAAAATAAGGCATCTTTTGTTTATTTATTTTTTGTAAGTAAAATAATCGAATATTACTTTCTGGAAAATGAGGAAAAGTTTTTGTAATGATTTTTATAATTGAAGCCTAAAGGTACGAGTATAGTTAATAATATTTTAGTAAGAATATATGTCATACAGAGAAATTCAGAGATAATTCAAATATTAAACACTTATTTTTGGCCGCGGCTCTGCCTTAGTGGCTATCAGAACACGTGTCAAAAGGAAACCTTTACACGTCTGTAACTCTATCTTGCTTTAAAAACATATATACATATTTATTCATTAATTAACTCATGCAAATACAATATTTTTCAATGGATATATTTCATATTTATAACGTTAGGGTGAATAAAAAAAATAATTCAAATACAACAGAATTAAAATCTAATGTTAATTAATAAAAAATAATTATTCTTGTAAAACGATTACATCATATTGCTTATTGTGTTAAATTATTCTAATTTGTATTTTGTATTGTAAAATAATTCTAATAAATAATGATAAAGAATTTATATATCGATACAATAGATATGGGTTCATATGAAAAAAGTGTGTTAGAATAGGAAGTATATCAAGTGTGTTAAGGTAGGCAGACCCTGGCTAAATCTGGGAAATTGCCAGGTAGAAGAGATCAAGTGTGTTAATGTTTCATTAAGCTTGTGGCATT